GAGGAACCTATCATTAAAAGGTTTTAAGATGTTTTGAATGATTCATTTAGGGAAATAAAAGAGAAAATAAAAATTAAAAAAAAAGAAGAAAATTATTTTTAAAATATTAATTTTTGATAATTTGGAAAACTATGGGAGGGGAAAAATTGGAAAAAATTAGAAAATAGGGGAAAAACTCTGAATGATTTAACATCTTTATTTTTATAAAAATATGTATTTTTCTTTTTAAAAGGCATCCTCATAATTTCCTCATTGGGGCGGTGATGAGGATTAGAGATCGGACCGTACCGGGCCGTATTTGTCGGTATTTCTCGGTATTACAGTCGGTAATACGGTACGGCAATTCATCGGTATTATACGGTATTACGCTACGGAATACGGTACGGAACAAAATTCCGATCTCTAATGAGGATGTCTGTTAGATCATCATCCCGCACAAACACAGTATCTAATTAAAACAGACACAGCAAAAATATTTTTAAATTTTAAAGTTAATAAAATTCTTTATTTGCTCTTTGAATAATTTTTAAAAATGTTCCTTCTTCCCATCTTTATTTCTAGCAAACATCTTCATCGCTATCCTCAGGTTTCTCGTTCAAATCAAAAGGATACTCATTTAAATTTATTTGATTCGTGCAATTCTCGGGAATTTTATTTAGCTCTTCTACCACAGTCTGATTTTGATCATCCACATTGGTTTCTGTTTCGCCTTTATTATTCTCTTCCTCCTCTTGATTAAAAAGACTTTTTTCTTCAAAATGAATGTTCTCTTCGTAAACGATAGGCAATTTCCCTTTACTACTACCACCATCATCATTCTGTGTATTAACAAAAGAAGTTTTTTCATTATTATCAGAATGAATATTTCCTACTTTTAGATCAACATTTTTTAAGTTTTCTTTTTTATTTTTCCTTTTTTCTCGGCATTTTCGTTCGGATTCTCTCCTCTTTTCTTTATTATTTTCTCGGTATTTTCGTTCAGATTCTTTCACCTTTTCTTTATTATTTAGACGGTATTTTCGACTCCATTTTTGCTGCTTTTCTTTATTATTTTTTCGGTATTCTCTTATCTTTTCTTTATTATTTTGGTAGTAAATTTTCATATATTCACTTCTATTAGATCTTTGTTTATTGGATATAGTTCTGCCTTTCTTTGAAATTGTATCTTTTGGTTTTAACGCTTTTTCATCTTTTTGAATTTGAGCATTAACCGATGATTCAGCCCCATCGTTCTCCTTTGAGGTTTCCCCAACTCTAGTTAACTCGTTTTGATTTTTATTATTTTTAACAGAATTAATTAAACTCCAAAATATCGCGTTAAATGTTAAAATTATTAAAATACTATCAAGTTTCATCTAAATTAATTTAAAAATATTTATTCAAAATATTTTATTTACTACTATTTAGCCAAGAATAATAAATTTTAATTTATTGAATTTAAATAAATATAGGTAGATGAAAAAACACATTGGGAAAATTATTTTACATTTCATAATAAATAATATAAAGTACATGTCTCGATTAAAAAAGGAAAGTACATTGCGAAAGGTTTAAACCAGGGATGATCGAAATTTTGTACTTCCTTTTGTACTTTATATTTTTTATTATGAAATGTAAAATTATTTACTCAATGTGTTTTTTCATCTATATTGCTTATTTAAAATAAATTAAATTAAAAATTATTTTTGGGTAATTAGTAGTACATAAAATATTATTTTAAATAAATTTTTAAATAAATTTTTTAAATTAATTTAGATGAAACTTGATAGTATTCTAATAATTTTAACATTTAACGCGATATTTTGGAGTTTAATTAATTCTGTTAAAAATAATAAAAATCAAAATGAGTTAACTAGAGTTGGGGAAACCTCAAAGGAAAACAATGGGGCTGAATCTTCGGTTAATGCTCAAATTCAAAAAGATGAAAAAACGTTAAATCCTAAACCTAAAATTGCAAAAAAGGTCACAACAAAAGATAACCAAGAAGGAAAAAAGTTGAATAAAAGTGAAAATGATAAGGAAAAGAGACGAGAAGCTGACCGTAAGTATCGAGCAAAAAATAAGGAGAAAAGGCGAGAATACGACCAAAAATACCGAGAAAATAATAGAGAAAAGAAGCGGGAATATGACCGAAAACGTCGAGAAAATAATAAAGAAAAAGTGAAAGAATCTGAACGAAAATGCCGAGAAAAAAGGAAAAATAAAAAATAAAACTTAAAAAATGTTGATCTAAAAGTAGGAAATATTCATTCTGATAATAATGAAAAAACTTCTTTTGTTAATACACAGAATGATGATGGTGGTAGAAGTAAAGGGAAATTGCCTATCGTTTACGAAGAGAACATTCATTTTGAAGAAAAATGTCTTTTTAATCAAGAGGAGGAAGAAACAGAAACTTATATGGAAGAGCAAAATCGAACTGTGGTGGAAGAGCCAACTAAAATTAATACCATAAATGAGACAGATTCGGATGAGGAAGATTATCTTCGTTATCTGAACGATAAACCTTATGATGAAGATGAAGACGTTTGAAAAGAAAGAAATTAATTTGAAGAAGTTAAAATTTTCAGAGAGAGTATATTATTTTTTCGGGTTATTTTTGCTTTTTCTCGCTATTATCTTTCTTTTCTTTATATTTCTAGCGATTTAAATGATTAAAAGTTTTGGGTCCGGTTTGTAATGTTGTGGGGTTGGGGGTTGCTGTGAAGGGAAGGGAAAGAAAGGGCACGATTCGACGGCAGCTCCGGTTATCCTAGTCCACGGAAGAACTAGGGCCGGAGCCCCGGATGGTTTACCCCTAAGTTAAATTAATAGAATTAAAAGCAAATTTAAAATAAAATTTATTTAATTAAAATATGAAAGACAAAATATATGTGTGGGGAAGAAGGGAATTAAGTGATTTGAATTAAAAGTGAATGTTGTTCGGCTGGCAGGAAAAGGTCACGCCTTATACCGTTACAAGTCGAACTGAGATGAGATCTCTCAATCATAAGCTTAGTTATCGAGAATCTCGATCTCTTCGGAATCGAAATTTTCAACTAGAATTAAAATTCTCTCTTTAAACTAAAAATTATTTGAATCGTCTCTATAAGGGGCCTACAAAGTTTAATAAATTTTAAACTCTGATTTTTAAACTCCTTCTCTTCTCCATAAATTCAAGAGTGCATTAATAAGCCTATTTATTTATTCACATTTTCAATAATAACAAAAAAAATTTTTTTCAAAATTGGAGGTATTCATTTTTACTCTTTTTTGAATTTATCCTTTGAATTTTAAAAAAGAACAAAGTTTAATAAATTTATTTATTAAACCTTTATATTTCTGTACTTTTTTAATAAAAATAATTTATTACAAATTTTTCTATTTTTTCTAAAAATAGAAAAATAAATTATGAAGTAAAAAAATAAATTATGGAGGGTTCTTTAGCTATAAAAAATTTTTTTTCTAATACAGAAATTTTGCAAAATTCGAGACTGCACCCGAAATTGCACACTAGATTTAATCTATATAAATAATTTGGAAGATATAAAGAGTAAAAAACAGACAAAATTAAAAAAAAATTTTTTGCAGTCCTACACTTTAGAGACAAACAAAAGGTTGAGGTTCGGGTTTTGTCGGTTTTCGGGTTGAAATTTATTCGGGGTTCGGGGTTTTCATTTTTGTTCAATTCTGGATTAAAAATAATAGTTTAATGTTGGAGTCAAATGAAAAAAGTTTGGGGAGGTTCTCCGGGATTGAGAACGTCGGGGATGAGGGGGAAGGAAGGGATGGCTGGAAAAATAAAAAAAATCGAGATGGAACCCTATCTTTCCTCTTAAAATAAATATTATACTAAAATAAAAGACGATACACCTAAAAGAATTTTATTTTAAAAAAATTCCAAAAAAAATAAAAAGCACTAAAATGTTTGTTTGTTTATGTATGTATTACTCAATTTCAAATTTTGAAATTTGATAAAATAAATTTTGAAAAAATTTATTTTATTTTTTGGTGTGTTTATTTATTTATTTTTTACTTTGGGAACGAAGAAAAAATTTTTTTTTAATTTTTAAATTATTTTTTATTTAAAAATATTTTTTTGAAAGTCATCCAAAAATTGAGGGAAAAAATAATTTTTATTTTGATATTTATTCTTTTTATGACGTTTTTAAAAATTTTATTTTTTTAAAAAATTAAAGAATAAATGAATAATAAATAAATTTTAATTTTTTAAAAATAATTTTTTGGAAAATTATTTTTAAATTTAATTTTTCGTTTAAATATCAAACTTGACAATAAAAAAAATTTTTTTTATTTTAAATTTCAGTGCTAAAAAATTAAAAGTTTTGCCTAACAAAGGAGAGCCTGAGGTGTCCGTAGGACTTCGGGATGAATTTGGTCACATCCTACTTTTTAAATTCAAAATGAGAAATTCCTTCTATTTTCCATTAAAAAATATTTTTTAAATTTAATACTGCCCTCAATGATATTTGTCAAATTAAACAACATTTTGTCGAATGCCATTGACAACAATCATCGCCACACGCCTTTCACTACCAACTTATTTTAAAGGGGATCACTAGTAAATCCCCCGTCCCAAAAATTACTCAAGATGTAGAATTAATGATATGCAATCTGTACATATACTTAATTAAATTAATTGAATTATTGAGTAGATTTTGGGTAAAAAGGGGAAGAATAAATTTTAAATTTTTTAAACTTAAAAATTATTTCCCTTTCTTTTATTTAAGAAAAAAGTCCAAATTTTCTTTGTAAATTTTTTTATAATTTTTTTGTGAAGTTCAGACTTGGAAAAAATTAATTCGAGAAAAATTTTTTTTTCCTTCAATTTATTTAACACAAAATTTGTATATAAATAAAAATGAAGAGATCGAATAAATTTTTAATTTGAAAAAAAAAGATTTTTTTAATTTTAATTTTTGGCACATTGCTTCGTCTAAATTATAGTAGAGTATTATGGCCTGTATTTATTTTTCTGTACCCGTTTAATCAACAAAATTTTACATGAACTTTCTTTTTGTAATTGCTACCAATCGTCTTAAAAATAGAAAAAATTTGTTTAATTAATAAAAAATCAGAATAAATATCAGAATTAAAATCAGAATTAAAATCAGAAAATAAAAATTTAAGGGTTGGATGGCGCAAATCAGGTTAGGCGCGCGTCTATAAATGGAATCGTTTCCAAGAACTTTTAGCTATGAAATTTTTTTTTATATTTCTAATATTCTTAACTACCTAATCAGAAAATTTCAAAATTTTTCGAACAGAATTTCAAAAGTTATGGCCAAAAAACTAGCGAAAATAGGCATTTTTACTACATTTTTGGCCATATCTTCTGAAATTCTGAATAAAAAATTCCGAAATTTTTAGAGAGGCTAGCTAACAGTATCATTGATAAGTGTACAAAATTTCAAGAATTTAGCTTTACTTTTGTTAATTTTATAGCTTTTCGCGTCAACGTCGTTTAAGGAAAATTTAGCTACCTTAAATTCTGTTTAAGTCCCCCTCCACTATTTTTTGGTGTATTTGTTGGACGTTGTTGTCTTTGTTGTTCTTCTTTTTCAACAAAAATTGTATTATTAAAATTTGGATTAATATTTTGATTTTGTTGTTGTTGTGCAATATTTGTTGTTATTACCCTTCGGTGGTGACATAAAGCATGTAAAATAGCCAGATCAAATACTTCCTTTAAATATTTCAGAATTATTTTAAAATTAATTTCAGAATATTATCAGAATTGGTGGAAAGATGACAAATTTAAAATCAGAATTTTTATCAGAATTAATTTCAGAATTTTTTTAAAAAAATCAGAATTAAAATCAGAATTTTTATCAGAATTAATTTCAGAATTTTTTTAAAAAAATCAGAATTAAAATCAGAATTAAAATCAGAATTAATTTCGAATTTTTTTAAAAAAATCAGAATTAAAATCAGAATTTTTATCAGAATTAATTTCAGAATTTTTTTAAAAAAATCAGAATTAAAATCAGAATTAAAATCAGAATTAATTTCAGAATTTTTTTAAAAAAATCAGAATTAAAATCAGAATTAAAATCAGAATTAATTTCAGAATTTTTTTAAAAAAATCAGAATTAAAATCAGAATTAAAATCAGAATTAATTTCAGAATTTTTTTAAAAAAATCAGAATTAAAATCAGAATTAAAATCAGAATTAATTTCAGAATTTTTTTAAAAAAATCAGAATTAAAATCAGAATTAAAATCAGAATTAATTTCAGAATTTTTTTAAAAAAATCAGAATTAAAATCAGAATTAAAATCAGAATTAATTTCAGAATTTTTTTTAAAAAAATCAGAATTAAAATCAGAATTAAAATCAGAATTAATTTCAGAATTTTTTTAAAAAAATCAGAATTAAAATCAGAATTAAAATCAGAATTAATTTCAGAATTTTTTTAAAAAAATAGAATTAAAATCAGAATTAAAATCAGAATTAATTTCAGAATTTTTTTAAAAAAATCAGAATTAAAATCAGAATTAAAATCAGAATTAATTTCAGAATTTTTTTAAAAAAATCAGAATTAAAATCAGAATTAAAATCAGAATTAATTTCAGAATTTTTTTAAAAAAATCAGAATTAAAATCAGAATTAAAATCAGAATTAATTTCAGAATTTTTTTAAAAAAATCAGAATTAAAATCAGAATTAAAATCAGAATTAATTTCAGAATTTTTTTAAAAAAATCAGAATTAAAATCAGAATTAAAATCAGAATTAATTTCAGAATTTTTTTAAAAAAATAGAATTAAAATCAGAATTAAAATCAGAATTAATTTCAGAATTTTTTTAAAAAAATCAGAATTAAAATCAGAATTAAAATCAGAATTAATTTCAGAATTTTTTTAAAAAAATCAGAATTAAAATCAGAATTAAAATCAGAATTAATTTCAGAATTTTTTTAAAAAAATCAGAATTAAAATCAGAATTAAAATCAGAATTAATTTCAGAATTTTTTAAAGAAACAGAATTAATTCCGAATTTTTATCAGAACTATTTTCAGAATTAGCACAAAAGAATCAGAATAAATTTTAGAATTCCAGAATTATTATTAGAATTAATTTCACAGCAGAATTTAAAAAATACCTTTAAATTCTGTTGTGTAACAGCAGAACATTCCAGCCAATGTAACTGTAGTCTAGAAGCTAACTGTCCCATAACGCTAGGTTCTATAGCTTCTCCTCGGCGAGTGTTCATTCTCTGATCGGATTGAGTTCCCACCAATATAACTATGAGGATTTTTTGGTTTTTTTTTTGAATTAGAGGGTTTTTTGAATTAATTCTTGAAACATTTTTCAAAGAGAAATTTAAAAAAAAATTTTTTTCCGAAGTTCAAGATTATTCTTGAAATAATTTATCTCATAAATAATTATAAAAATTACTAAAAAAATAATTTTACTAGGTGCAGAAGGAGCTAATGCACGTATCTCTGGCAGCCAACGTTGCGTAGCTGAACGTAATGTGGATATTTTTGCAACACTAAAAATTAATTTTTTATAATTAAAAAATTTTTCCCTTACTTAAAACACAACAAAAAAACAGAAGCATCAGCATAACCCAAAGGACGAATTGTATCAAATTCTGACCTTCCTGCAGTGTCACACAATTCTAACCGCAAAGGTTTTCCATCTACACAGACTGTTACTTTGAAAAAAAATTTGAAATTTATTATTTCTGGTATTTATTCTTAAAATTAATTCTGAAAAAAATAATTCTGAAATTAATTTTGAAAAAAATTCTGAAATTAATTTTGAAAATAATTCTGAAAATAAATTCTGAAAAGATAATTCTGAAAATAAATTCTGAAAATAATTCTGAAAAAATTATTCTGAAATTTAATTCTGAAAATAAATAATTCTGATAATAATTTAATCAGAAATAAAATAGGTTATTCTGATTTATTAAATTTAATAATTCTGAAAATAATAAAAAGGGTCTTATTCATTATTTCAGAAGATAATTTTATTATTTTTATAGAAATTCTGAAATTAATTCTGAAATTAATTTAATTTAAATTTAATAAATTAATAATGTTACCAGAATAATTGTCAAATGCTGTTGGACAATAACGCTCTAAATTATTTTAAATTTTATTTAAAAATTTTTAAATAATTTTAATTAATTTTTAGTTAATTTTATAACCTTCCTAAAATTTAAATAAAATATTTAATTAAATTTAAATAACCACAAAATCCATTTCTTGTGTATGACACAACCAAGGAAGTTTTTCCTACGCAGGGATCCCCAACTAGTACACAACGAAGATGAAGCATTAAAATATTTTTTTAATTTTTATTTTTATCTAAATTTAAAAAAAAATAATTTTGAATTTAAAATAGAAAAATTTAAGTTTTAAAATTTATTCTTCCGCTTTTAATTTAAAATTTACTCAATATGCAATAATTCAATTAAATCTAGTTAAATAAATATTAAGAGCGCACAGTGTACGGGTTGGGTCATTTGATCGCTTATCAATTTTTGGGACGGGGGATTTACTAGTAATCCCCTTTAAAATAAGTTAGGCATGGAAGGTGTGTGTGAGATTACGGTATATCCTTTGAGTAGTGGATACATATTTGGAGTAAGATTTTATAAATTATTTTTAAAGCGGTTTTTATCAAACCGCTATTTCACAAAAAAGGACTAGAAACAAATATTAATTCAGAGCGATACAAGGTGGGAAGAAACAGAGTCGCTGATAATGAAATATCTCCAATATTTAGCTACCGCCAAAATTAAGGAAAATGTCTTTTAAAAATAAAGTCGAACCCCCATTGTAAAAATACACCTTTTGTGATAAAACTGTATTTACAATAGAGTTAGAGAGAGAGGTGTATTTTGTAATAGGTATAGTTACATTCGAGGTCCGACTGAATAATGGCCCGACTATCCGTGTATTTATAATTAAAAAAATTAAAAAAATATTTTTTATACTTATTAAAAATGAAAGAAAAAATTTCACGCATTTACTCTTTCAAAAAATAATAAATAAATAAATTTTATAGAAAATGTTGCTATTTATTTGAGAGGAGGTATAATTAAGAAGAATTTAGATTAATTTTTAATTTTTAGTTTAATGGTTTTTGGTTCTTTTTTGTAAAAAAAAGGCAAAAAAATATTAGGAAAAAAAATATTTTTTCCTAATTTTTTGGTATTTAATTGAATTGATCAAAAATTAAGAGTTTTTATTTTAATAAAAAATTGTGAAAAGAACTTAAAAATAATTAGGTAATTAATATTTATTTTTAGAGAGTTGAATATTTATTAAATATTTTATTAGGAAAATTAAACCATTTTTAAATTATTTATTTTAAATAAATATTAACTAATAATATACCTACATATTACCTATATATTCCGGAAGGCTTCTATTTATAATTAGTTTCCGGAAATATAGTTTATGTTTTATATTATAGTTTCCGGAAAAGTTACTATTTCAGGTTTTCCTTTAAGTTTAATTTATTATATAGCTTCTATTACCCTTTCCGGAAAGTTTATTTTTATAGTATTTACCGAATTCCGGAAATTTATAAATATGTATATGCATAGCGATATTAATTTTCCGGAAGGCTTCTTTTAAATTAAAATTTCCGGAAACTTGTTACTGTTATATAAATTCCGGAAATTTTTTTAGCGATAATATCTTTATGAAAAATTTAGATAGAACTTGGTATAACTTATATTTTTAATTTATCGTATTAGACAATTTATTAAGATAAGAAAAAATAATATTTTAAAAATTTAAAAGGGCAATTAATTCATTTTAATTTAAAATCAATTAAATATTTTTAAACAATTTTTGGATAATTTTTATTGTTTTTAAATAATATTTAAAGTAAATAAAATAAAAGATAACGTCACAAAAAATATTTTATTTACCATAATTAAATTTATGATAGTCTACTAAAAATTAAAAAAATATATTTTTTATATTTTTATATACTAAAGAATATTAATCATTTTATATTTTCTATATTTATTCCATTCTTTGTTTTATTTTTAATTTTTTTAATTAATTAATTTTATTTTTTACGATTATTTGGTTATTTAAAGTGATCCGGAAAGTTTATTATATCTATATACCTTTGAATATTTATCTTCCGGAAACTATTTAAAAGAATTAATAAAGCTACTATAACTTTTCCGGAATCTATAATACAAAACTTTCCGGAAAAATAAATTTATAATCTTTCCGGAAAAATACAAAACTTTCCGGAAAAGATAGATTTATAACCTTTCCGGAAAAATACAAAACTTTCCGGAAAGGATAGATTTATAACCTTTCCGGAAAAGTTTCCGGAAACTATAATATAGAATTTCCGGAAAATTAAATATTAATCTTTTCCGGAAAATAATATTCTATAACTTTTCCGGAAAACTTGTATAAATATAGCTAGTAATATAAACTTTTCCGGAAACCTTATCAGACAAATAGACAATAAATAGAAGCCTTCCGGAAAAAAATAGAAGCCTTCCGGAAAAAAATAGAAGCCTTCCGGAAAAAAATAGAAGCCTTCCGGAAAAAATAAAATATTATAAGAGTTATTTCCATTTTTCAATAGCAAGCTTCTACCATCGCCAAGAATAATTTTAAATAAAAAAGAAAGATGTCAAAAATCAAGAAATAAATTTTATAAATTATAAAGCAGAATACAAAAATCATTTTTATATATTTTTTAACATATTTACCGTATTTTCTCGATTAATTCCCCTGGGGATTTATTTTTTCAACCCTTCCTTTGCATGGGGAATTAATCGAGGGAGGGGAATTATTAGAGTTTTGGCATTTGAACGTGCAGTAGGGTATTTGGTGGTGGGGAATTATTGTTTCAACCCAACTCTAGCATGGGGAATTAATCGAGAGGGGGAATTATTCGAGGGAGGGGAATTAATCGAGAAAATACGGTAATCATTTTTCAGAACAAAAAAATAATAAAGGTTAATATAGAGTTTGGTAGCGACAGTTACCAATTTCCTTATGAATTACTTTGTCTTTTTTTTTTATTTTGCCGAAAAGATGATTGAGTTGACCGATTTTTTTTTAATTTTTAGTACTAGGTGGTATTAATAATTATTAATAAATATTAATAATAAATCGGAAAATGAGAAAATAAAAAAATGAAAGAAAAATTAATTAAAAAATAAATAAAGGAAGTTGAAGAAGAAAAACTGGTAAATAATTTTTTAAAATATTATTAGTTAGTTTTTTTTAAAGTTTTTTTGAATTAGTTTTTTGAAGACTGGCGCCTTTGAATATTAAGCAAGTTTTGTGTTTTTTTTATTTTTTCTGAATTAATTATTTTTTGGACAGTATGCTTCTCAAGAAGGACGTCTGGGCGCGTGGTCATAAAAAAGGGAATAAATTAGTTAAATTTATGAAATTTTGCAGAGATATCCCTGATAGTGTTAGGTATCTACTCTAAAAATTTCAGAATTTTTAGTCAAGTATTTGTCAAGTTATGACCAAAATTGCATGAATTTTAGGTGAGAAACGGGCACTTTTGGCTTTTTTTTGGCATAATTTCAGAAAGAACAAACCAGAAATTCTGAAATTTAATTTTCGAGTTATCTAATAATTTATAAATAAACTAAGACGAGGAAAATAAAAATCAGAAGTTGAAACAAAAAAATTTTTGAATTTATTTTTACTTAATATATAATTATTAGTTAATTTATTAGTTTGTTATTTAATTAAAATAAATTAATTAATTAATCATTTTTGATAGATATTAACTTGAGAAACACCTAGACAGTTTAAGGCACGTGGTTAAACTTAAAAAAATTTCTTGTTTACTATAAATTGTGGGAAATTATTATAGTACCCTGTTCAGCTTATTTTTAATTAAATTTATAAACTTATTAATCAAAAAAATTTCTATAAATGTCGAAATAATTATTTTAAAGTGTTTCTTAAATTTTTAACTAATCAACGATCACCTATTTATTTAATTAATTTTATTGGGACAAAATTTCATTGAAAAAGAATTTCTTGAAAGTTGCGGGAAGGGGTAGGGGATGCCAACAAGGCAGGGGATGCCTTGACAGCAGATCGTTTGAAGTAAAGTATCAGAACTTGAAACTGTCGGAGATTGCTCAAAAGTCGGAAAACGTAAATCGGAATTCCTTTATAAATTTTTTTAACCTCTGCTTAACAATGAAGTTGAAATTGAGAACGAAATAGGAAAAACAATTTCTTAAACATATTTTAATTTTCAAGATATCTAGCGACATCAAAGATTTTCCACAAAAAATTTTTTTCTTGTTAAAATTAAAAATTTATTGCCTCAATAGAGGAAATATTATTATATTTCCTCGAATAACTACCCTGCGTAATTATTGTTTCAACCTATCGTTGGAGGGAGAGTAATTAATCGAGGGAGGGCAATTATTTCAGGAATAGTAATTAATACAGGTTATAGGTAAATTTGAATAGTTAACAGATAAAATAATTATTTAAAAAAATATTCTTTGATAAAATTAAAAGGAGATAAAGTTTGACGAGATTTGATTGTTTTGTTGACTGTTGATTGCCCTCTAATTAAATACTTTTATATATTGTTAATTGCGATATTTAATTAATTGATAAATGAATTGGTCTATCGCCGAAGCTGGAAAATATAAAAATAAGGAAAGAGACTGGCAGAAGGAGATGAGGAAGGGGGGATATGTTTGGGCGGATGTAAAAATAAAAAGGATTATTTATGGAAAGGAAAGGAAGGAAAAAATAATTTTTTGGTAAATAATGTAGAGGTTATAAATTAAATTTAATTAAAGTTAAATGTCAGTTTGTGGTCGAAGGTTATGTGTGAAATTTATGTGAAAAATTGTGAGAAAAGCATTGCCAAAAGAACAAATTTTGTGGTTGAAGGTCTCTACTTATTTGGAACATTGGCACATAGACTCGTTGCCAGGGATGAACGCAGTTGTGTGTGTGTGTTTTATTTTCTCCACCCATGCTCGTTGCCTTATTAGCAACTTTATACTCGGTAATTCTGACATGAGGAATATTCCCAGAATTTATTTTTTCATTTTATTTTACATCCGTAGAACCATGAATTTACATTCAGTAATGAACAGTAGCCATCAAAAAATTATTATTTAGCAGTGGTCATCAAAATCACACTAATAAATAGGAAAAGTTTCTTTCATAAATGGATTCCAAAGAATTTTGACTCTAATACAAGGATCCCAGAACTTAGTTAAAGCTATTATACAACTCTTGGAGCAATCCCTCTCCTAGTGATCCCTCATAGCTCTAATTCCCCCTAAGAAGAGTTTTGTCTCCTCACAATTCCTCTAATGTCCAACTTTCCTCTAGACACTAAAAAAGGGGATAAATTTATTTTGAAATATCATATAAACAGGAAGAAACTAAAACTATCTTTTTTAAAATTGGTGATAATCAACATTGACTTGCTTTGTCATTTTATTTTATTTATTTCTTGTCATTTCTCGCCTTTAATTTTCGCGCATTCATGCCCTTCCTTTTTATTTTCTCAAAACTAAAATCCTTTTTCTGTCAATTTCTCGGTTTGTGTGTGTGCCCTCTAGTAATCCATCATTTTGAATATTTAAATATTTTTAAAATTTATATATTTTTTTTCTTGCAAAATATTGCACTTTTTAGAGCAAATAAATGCAAAATGCAAAATGCAATAATGCAATAAATGCAAATAAGTTGGTAAAAGGTTTGAAAAATATTTTAAGAAAGTTGCTAAAAGGTTGTAAAAAAGTTGGAAAAAAGTTGGTAACAGGTTGGTAATAGGTTGGAACAAGGTTGGTAAAAAGTTGGAGATGTTGGAAAAAAGTTGGTAACAGGTTGGTAATAGGTTGGAACAAGGTTGGTAAAAAGTTGGAGATGTTGGAAAAAAGTTGCAATAAAATAAATAATAAGTTGGGAAAAGGTTGGGAAAAAGTTGGAAAAAAGTTGGTAAAAAGTTGGTAATAGGTTGGAACAAGGTTGGTAAAAAGTTGGAATAAAGTTGGTAAAAAGTTTCTAATAAGTTGCCGAAGTTGGGAAAAAAAGTTGCAATAAGATAAACAACAAGTTGCCAAAAGGTTGTAAAAAACTTGGAAGAAAGTTGTAAACAGGTTGGAAAAAAGTTGTAAAATTTAATTAAAGTTGGAAAAATATTTGGGAAAAAGGTTGGTAATGTAATAGAGAAAATAATTAAAAATAAAATATTTCCGGAAATGTTTGACTGCCCTACTTTTCCGGAAAATTATTTTTTGGACGCAGTCTTTATTTGGGCTTTTATGTTACTCAACATATCTCACTATTTAAAATAAAATTGAAGGAATTTGAGGAAGTAGAATATTTTTACATTTTTCATTTAAAGATGAGTGAGAGATAAGAATGCAAAAAATAAATAAAAAAATATAATAAAAAATTTGTGTACAAATCGTCGTCTGCCTCACTTTTTTATACAAGGTAAACAAAAAACTGGAATAATAAATAAAAATAATTAAACAAAAATAAAAAAATAAAATAAAAAGTGGGTATAATTTTAGAAAAAACAGACAGTAATGAAGGGGGTGGGTTGAAGGCAATTCAAATTACTGTGATAAGGGGTGGGGTCCTTGAAGAGATATAAATGAGTTCCATTCTATGTGGGACGTTTCTGAATTTAATTTAGACTGAGAATCAATTTTCTTGGGGAACGGGGGCATGATCAAGAGGAACCCTTCCTCTTCTCTGTGGGCTAGGAATTTTCCTGATAGAATTTTCCTGTCCCTCCCGGGGAAACCATATAAATTTGTAAACTTTATTTTTACATGAAAAAGTAACAAAAATATCTGTAAAAATATTAATAAAAACACACGTCTTTTATTATGTAAATCGTCATGGAAACGACGCATTTTCCCCCTTTTATTTGTCCGACATTTGGAAAATAAAATTTATTCTTAAAATTATATTTTTATTTTAAAATGCTAAAATGTCAACAAAAAATAATATTAAAGTAGTAAATAAAAATATCTCTGCAGAACGTTTAGGCTTACTTAGAGAAGAATGTCAAAGATTGGGGAGAATGTTGGAAGAACAAATTCAACAACACTATTATAGGTAAATAAGTTTTAATAAATTAACGGAAATAATATAAAATAAATTCCGAAAATATAAACAACTTTCCGGAAATATAAAATATATTTCGGAAAAATTAATAGAAGTAATATTAAAATTGATACCAGAAATAAAAACTTTCCTGAAATATTCTTATAAAATAAATTCCGGAAATATTATTATAATATGTATTTTCCGGAAAACTTGATACTTTTCCGGAAATAATATGAAAATTTATACCAGAAATATAAAACTTTCCGAAAAAATAAAATAAATTCCGGAAATATTATTATGTATTTTCCGGAAATTTTGATATTTTTCCGGAAATATTATTATAATATGTATTTTCCGGATTGATATTTTTCCGGAAAAATAATATTAAAATTGATACCAGAAATATAAAACTTTCCGGAAAAATAAAATAAATTCCGGAAATATACTTATAGAATCTTTTCCGGAAAAAATATAACTTACTGCAGAGTAAAATAAATTCTGAAAATATAATAGTAGAAACTTTTCCGGAAATATAATATAATGTTTTATTCCGGTTTATACTAAAGTCTCAGTCACAAGTTATAAACATTAAAACCTTCCGGAAATACTTTAATAAATAGGAAAACCTGATATATTTAAAATAAAATTATTTCTAGATGTGGAATAAACATTAATTTCCATCAACAACAAAATAACTTAACAAATAGAAAAGCTTTAGCAACAATTTTGAAAATCAGCAAACCTCCTCAACTTCCAGAAAAATTAAAAGAAAAATCCCCTTCTCCACTAAAATATTCCCCTCCTCCTATTTATCAATTTAAAAGAAAAAATAATTTTTTAAATCAAAGTCCTTCCCCCTCAAAAATTTTTTATAATTTTAATCAATTTATTTTTCCACCAATACAAAGATGGCATCCAACAGTTTGGCCGACAAAAAAGAAAATTTCTCCTAAAAATAAATTAAAAAATAATTTAATAAATGAAGGGAAAGACATATCTAAAACCCGTATTGTTGAATTTCCTGCTAATGCTACAATTCCCAAACCTTTTTGGTTCACTAAACGGTAGATATTAAATTTATAGTAAAAAATGCTGTTAAGTTTCCGGAAACCTCAAGTTTTCCGGAAAATTAAATATTCAATGTTTATGGTTAAGTTGGTTTATAAATTGGATGATTTTATAGGTCCATTTTTAGAGGGTGATGGTTCGATGTCCTCATGGTTCTAATTAATTTTTACGATTTTTCGTGCCCGTATTTTTAGCTTTTGGACATTCTAAAATTTATTTAAAGTAAAAAAATTTTATTTTGCATATTTCTCGGCTAAAAATTTCTTTTAATTCCTTATATCAGCCCTCCAATCCCTTGTATCTATGCAGAACGTCACTTGCATCAAATGATGGAAGAAAAGCGTCGGGAAGACCTCCAATTCAAGTTGTATCGTTTCCGAGCCCGTTCAGTTCCATTGAGTACATATAGACAACCCAACTTTGATTGGAAGTCAAAAAATCAGAGGTTTAGAACGCGCTCACTTCCCTCAAGAAGTTTAACTCCTGCAGCCTATTCCTCTTCTGATTTTGCTTTGAATGAGAGGAAAGGTTTTGAACAAATTTCTTTGGCTTTTTAACTAATTTACTCATTAAAGCCAATCTACATACTCGATCACCTCCCCTCTCAACTTATTTAAGACCTTCAAGTTGTAGCCAATCAATGGAAGAATTGAGAGCATTGAAAGCACAAAGGAGGAGTGTTCAACTTTTATCCAAAGCTCATGGACCTATTGGGGTTGAGGTAAATTTGAGGAAAATGTACAGTCAGACCTCACTTATAAGTACATATAAGTGAGGTCTGACTCATAGCTGAAAAATCGCTTTTATAATGAGCTGTATATTAACTAGAAGGTAGCGTTTAGGCAACACACCCCCTCCCCTCACCTTCGATTTTTTCTTAGAATGTACATAATGGTCAGACTTTCTCTCATCTATGCCATCTGTTTCCAGATTCCGAAATCAAGACCTATGCCAACGTTGAGACCTCTAGTATTGGGTATATTTTAATAAATGAGGTCCAACTAGGTCAAATCTCATTTTGAAATTACAGGAACACTCTATAAGATGGAGAATTCTTTACAAACTACGCCATTCCCAGCAGTGTTTGGCTCCTTTCAGGCCTCTTTCTACCAGTTTTAGAGCTCAACCAATGCCCGACTTTGTTAAATTACAAGAAGAATTTAGCAGAAAATTGGCAGCAAATAGAAGATTTAGAGCTAGCACAGTGCCGAGACCCTTCCATTTAAGCGAACGAAGATATAACGGAGAAATACGAGGGCATAGTTGTGAAGTAATTTGGAAGGAATTTTAAATTTTTTTTATTTTTTAAATTTTAAAGAGTTGGACAAGAAAAGATAGGGAAGATAAAAGAAGAAATATGGAACCAGAAAAAAGACAAGAAAGGGGAAGAAAAGTGTGGAGGTGATTGATAATAAACAAGAAAATTAAAAAAATAAATGGTGATATGTAAAAATCATAGATTTGCTAGTTTTCTAATTTAAAATTATTAAAAGTGTTAAAAATAATTAATATGTAGGATTAAATTTAAAAACTTTAGTCTATTCCTAGTTCTATTTCCTAGTTTATTTCCTAGTTCCTTTATAACTTATCACGTTTTACTATAAAAGCCCTTCTTTATCCTCCTCATCCTTTTTCTAAATCCAAAATAAATTGCCATCAGTTCACCTAAAATGCATCAAAGCTTCGTCTACATCGACTCATCTCTACTCGCGTTGGCATTACTCCTATTTTCAATACTTCTGCCGGCTTATTCATGTATCCACTGCATCAAGAAGAAGTCGACGAAGAAGTCAAAAGGCTCAAAATCAGAAGACGAACTCGTCAAGTCACTAGTAAAGAAGTTGGACAAAGCCAAGAAAGAAATGAAGGCTGAGACACCAAAGAAGCCTACCTTGGAAGCGGATGGGGCAGCTAAAGTTGAAAAGAAACCTGGGGGTGGCAAAGGGGACAATTCTCCCAAAGATGATCAGCTTCTTCTACAAGCAAAGGGGGGAGAAGTAAAGAAAGCTCCACTTCCCGCGGACAAAGGCAAGGAAGAGGGAAAAGAGGTTAAAGCTTCCTCACGTAGTGATATCATCAGCATACCTATCGGTGTCAGCATTGGACAATATAGGGTGGAAGAGGCTTTGGGTTCTGGTGAGTTGTTGGCAATTTTTGGTGAAAAATTCGTAAAAAAATTTTCAGGCGGCTGTGGTGTTGTCTACAAGGTCAAAACAAAAAGTGGCGAATATCACGCAATGAAACTTGAACGAACGGACCAGAAGAGGCGAGATCAACTCCTTCCTTTAGAAGCGCACGTTCTCAAGCAGCTACAGTTTACTGACTACGCTGCAAAATTTATTGAATATGGAAAATGCTCATGTGGGTTTTTGCCCCAAATTTACCCAAAAATTTTCTAAAAAATTTTTTATTTTTTCAGCAAAAGACCTGTCATTTCATGTACTTGTTATGGCCCTTCTAGGCAAGTCTATAAGTGATTTGCAGGACAAGAGACCTAAATTCAAGTTCACAACTGGGACCGTCCTTCGAATTGGTTTGCAGGCGTTAAGGGTGGGGATACTTCTCTCTTCTACTAATATCTCTCCCTCATTTACAGGGAATTGCCTTTCTTCACAGCATTTATTACGTTCATAGAGACGTCAAGCCGTCCAATTTTGCCATCGACCGAAACAATCAGAAGAGAGTTTATCTGATTGATTTTGGACTGTCACGGTCATTGAGGAAGAGGGCAACAAAGCTTTTGAGGAAGCCTAGAGCAGGTGTGCCCTTCCGTGGAACTCCAGGCTATTGTAGTTTGAATGGTGCGATGCTTTACTGAGATTGAATAAATATTTGTCATTTTCAGCGCATAAACGTGTCGAGCTTGGCCGTCATGACGATCTCTGGTCTCTCGTCTATATGATGGTTGATTTGAACAATGGTTCCTTGCCTTGGTTCGGTCAGGAGAATAGAGAACATGCTGCAGTTTTGAAGGAATTTCTGATTGAAAGTGAATATATGCATGTCTGTTACCTGATTAATTCACTCAAAAATTTTTTTAAAAATTTTCAGGGCTGTCCACTCGCATTCAGATCAATTATGGACTACCTCCGTACTTTAACCTACAAGCAAAGACCCGACTATCACGGCCTTGAATCTATCTTTATTCAAATGCTTGAAGCACGGGATATTAGCAGCAATCAGCCAATGGATTGGGAGCCCCTTTATATAAAGAGACCGGAGGAAGTAAGAAAGCCATCAGCTGTTAGTTGTTTTGATCCTCTGTAGAAAATTAATTTTGAACATTTTCCAGGCCAAAAACCCCAAAGCAACCGATACTGTCGTTGATTTGGCGGATAAAACTCAGGACTCCAACACTCCACAATCTGGATCTGGATAACTTGAAAAGCATCTTGAAGTATATATGAATATTGGGGGATATCTATAAATTCACTATCTAATTGAATATATTTTTGAAATTGTTTGTTGCCTTTTCTTTGTTTTTGATATGTAAATTATAGGAATAAAAATTATTAATTATGTATGCTAATCAGCAGAATTCCGATTTTTTGACTCATCTACTCATCTGTTCCGCCATTTTGTCATTATTCACCTATTTTACACCCTTAACTTCGGCCTTATTTAAAAAAAAACTAGTTGGGCTTTCCTTTAAATTTTCCTTGCGAGCCCAATAAATGAAGAAATCTGATTCTCGGCCTTCGAAAACTATCAAAAAAGAATTTTCATCTACCGACTTCCAAAATTCTCAAAAGTATCCAGTAGTCAAGGGATAAATTGCCCGTTTAAATAAAGGAGGGTTAAAAAAGGCCATTAGCTGTTAGTCCGATTAGTTTAAAAAAAATAATTTTCAGCATTTTCCAGGCTAAAAACACCTTACATGCCAAACTTATTTTGAAGGGGATCATTAGTAAATCCCCCGTCCCAAAAATTGAAGAAAACTTCGGGTCGGTACACTATGCGCTCATAATATTTACTTAACTAAATTTAATTGAATTATTGCATATTAAGTAGATTTTGGGTGAAAAGGGGAAGAATGAATTTTAAAACTTGAAATTTTTATTTTTTAAGCTCAAAAATTATTTTTTTTTTAAATTTAGATAAATTTAAAAAATTTAACTATTTCCAGTTTAACAATCTCCACAATTTAAAATTCACCCCCCCCCCACTCCCGAAATCGGGAATTTTGTTATTTTATCAGCTCGTTCCCTCGTGTATACTGTAAAGCATATAGCTATTTAATTCCTAAGGCTGTAGGTGGCGTGGTGTAATGGCTAACACATCAGTCCGGCTACTAAAGATGCTGGTTCGTTCCCAGCCGCCGAATAACCTTTTGGACTAGCTAAAGGAGAAATAGCTATAGCCCAGCTGCTTTACTATAGCCCGAAAACCCCAAAAGTTTTTCGGGTCGAGGAATGGAGTTTTCACTTTTTTCGGGGCAGGGAGAACTGTGAAAACATCGTTTGGGTACGGGGTACTATTTAAGCAGTCCTTTTTAAATTTAAAATTCATTCCTCCACTCAAATTCAACAATTTCTCCACAACCATTATGAACTTTCTAAGGCGAACATTTTTTGGATTACCTCGTCAAGCATTGCCAGATACTACGGATTCTCTTCAGTCAATGATGTTTGTTGATGAACACGGAGAAATTACATGGGAATTGTGTGAATGTGCTGTTTCCCTTCCAAGCAAAAAACTCTTAATTGGGCCTTGGTAGAGTTGAATTTTCTTTTAATTTTACAAAATTCTCTTTTTCAGTATTGCAGCCTTTAGCGGCAAAAACTCTTATAAGAAGTCACAATTCATTCCTATCACTTTGCATAATGATTCAAAGCATGAATGGATTGCCTTTAAAGTGCAACATTATGAAGTGAGTCAATTAGAGATCGAGAATTTTTGAAAAGCCTGGACCTGTTCCTGGACTTTGGAGTTTGATTTATTGAACTGGGCCGGATCCTGAGTCTGTAGTCCAGGAAAAAACCCAGGCCTAGGAAAACCTCCAGGAAGGTCAAAAAATGCTTAAGCCTGGACTCTAGGTACAGGAGGTATCACGACTTTTGCGCCGAGAACATTTGCGCCGCGACTTTTGCGCCGCGACTTATGCGCCGGGCGACTTTTGCGCCGCGACTTGTGCGCCGCGACTTTTGCGCCGGGCGACTTGTGCGCCGCGACTTTTGCGCCGGGCGACTTATGCGCCGCGACATTTGCGCCGCCATAATTTTAAAAAAATAATATCTACAGTCGGACCTAATTATAGTGTACTCCTTAAAAAATGGTATTCAGGAGCTGAAGGAATTTCAGGAAGTACAATATTTCGGGAAGTACAATAGCCCCCTCTAATAAACCGACACCCTAGAGGAAGGTTGATAAATAAACCGACCCCCTAGAGGGCTCATCTTCAAAGAACTTGACTTTTTCGGATCAGGATATTTAGTCTGCTACCTCTATTCAAGCATGATTTTCTGCCAGAAACGGGTGCACTATAGTGTAGGGTTGTCGGGTCCATATATCCGAATCTGAAAAAGGCCGGATAGCCGAAAATTTTTGGTCGGATATCGGTTCCGGATCTTGATATCCGAAGATCTCCAACTATCCTACATCTTCTATAGTGAGGTCCGGCTGTAGTTTTTCATAATTATTAATGATAGTGGCGGCGCAAAAGTCGCCCGGCGCATAAGTCGCGGCGCAAAAGTCCCCCGGCGCAAAAGTCGCGGCGCAAAAGTCCCCCGGCGCAAAAGTCGCTCGGCGCATAAGTCGCGGCGCAAAAGTCGCGGCGCATAAGTCGCGGCGCAAATGTTCTCGGCGCAAAAGTCACGGAACCGTACAGGAAGAACCCAGGCCTTGGTCCAGGTCCAGCTCGATCTCTAGTATATTTATCGTTTTTGACTGCTTAAAAATTTTTCCCTTATAGCCTAGAGACCCTTTTCTGGCACAAGAACAACTTGCAAAACTTGAAAAGGCCTGTGTTCCTTTAATGGCTTCTCCTAATGTTGGATTAATTGGGCCCGGGCAGGACGTGGTGTTCAAACTTATTTTGCCGGATCGAAATATTTGGCCTGTTAGTCGGTGAGGACATTTTTTAAAATTAAATTATTTGGGAACTTGTTTACTTTGGGTACCTACCCCAATTATTCCCAATCACCCCATTTATTCCCAAGCCAGTAATACCCATGGTACTGTTCCGAAACAGATTTTAAAAGGCGAAAAACGCGAAACTATCACATCCCTGGTGCACACCTATGTCCCTGTAGATAAAGACCAAGCGACTTTGACCATTTTGGGCTTGCGAATAAATGTGGTGGGTACCTAACAGTTGTGGGCTTACAACTAGTCTCTATCTCGTGAAATCTCGTTTTTTAGAGGTCTCGTATTTTGTGGGCTTGGCCACCTCTGGTACCTAAGTAATTCGATTAATTTTGGACATGATTAAATTTTAAGAGAAGCAACTATCGGCAAAATGGGTTACTTCCGTATTTTACAAATGCAAATAACCGATCCGTGGGAGGTATTAAGTGCGTTTAGCGGTAACAATACTTCGCTAACAAGAGGAATTAAACAACTCTTTGATGCATTAAATACTGCTAGAAGCTGTGAGGATGCTTTGGAAAGGGTGTGTTTTGAATTAAAAAATTCGTAAATTGACTTCCTCCTCTCCTTTTTGGCCAGACTTAAAGTTTTACAAACCTTATCTATGGATAAGTACCCAGCTCTGCTTTTTAGAACCCATGCCGATGTTGGGTGGGTGTATCAATAATTCTTTTCATAATAGGCTAACTTGTTGCCCATAAAATCATTTTGGGACTCACCCAGAGTTCTCACCCAGTTGGGGACTCACCCAGCCTACTCACCCAGAGTTCCGTTACACAAGCCCATTGCCGGATCATTGGTTAAAAACGAAAGGCTCTGGGTAGTTATCACCATAGAAAGGATTTTAACACATTAAGACTGGCTGACCATCTTTTGGAACGAAAAGGGGTGAGGGGGTACTAAGTCCAATTTTACCAGTAAAATTAAAAAAAATTTCTTTTTAAAGATTTATTCTTGCGATGTTCCTTTTTTCCTTCCTCTGTGCCCTATAATTCTGTCTGAAACAAATTTGAGTGTTGGGGCGAAAGATAAGGTTAAGAAAGATGAACAAAAAGTTTAAAGGAATATATTTCTCTAGCTATAATTTTTTGTTTTGTATTAAAGGCTAAATATGTATTTGTGTCTGTAAATATCTGGAAAAGATAATAAAATAATTGTTTTTCCTTTGATTTGATCAGGAGTCTTATCCGTACTTATTTTTGGAAGTACTTACGAAGTTAAAAATGTTTTGACTTTTAAAATTCTCAAAATTTTTGCCCGTTTCGCTAAAATACTGTAAAATACTCAAACTGGCCGCACTGAACTGGCTTTATTTAGTTAAAAACGAAAGCCGTTTTGCTGCTGCGATCTATTAAAAAACTTTTAATTGTGGATAAATTTACTTTTTATTTTTTTGTTTTGTTTATTGTTTTTCACAATTTACTTTACTTTTTTCTAAAACTACACATTTTTCTTAAGGTTAAATTTTGATATTTTTCTTGGTTAAGCGTTTAAGGATATTTTATCAAACAATTCTTTCAATTTTGGCTATTTAAATAATGTATATTAAAGAGGTTTGTTTTTGATTTTTATTTACCTTTTTGCTCTATCTGCGGACAAAATATTCTTCATTGTGGAACGATCCTTTTTTAATTCCATAAGAAACATTTTGCGGACATTTCCCTTTAACTGAGAAATTGTCCGCAAAAAGAAAATGTCCGCAAAAAGTAAATGTCCGCAAAAAGGAAATTGTTCGCAAAAATTAAAATGTCCGCAAAAAAATGTCCGCAAAAGGAAATTGTCCGCAAAAATGAAAATGTCCGCAAAAATAAATGTCCGCAAAAAGTAAATGTCCGCAAAAAGAAATTGTCCGCAAAAAGGAAATTGTCCGCAAAAATGAAAATGTCCGCAAAAAAATGTCAGCAAAAGGAAATTGTCCGCAAAAGGAAAATGTCCGCAAAAAGTAAATGTCCGCAAAAAGGAAATTGTTCGCAAAAATTAAAATGTCCGCAAAAAAATGTCCGCAAAAGGAAATTGTCCGCAAAAATGAAAATGTCCGCAAAAATAAATGTCCGCAAAAAGTAAATGTCCGCAAAAAGAAATTGTCCGCAAAAAGGAAATTGTCCGCAAAAATGAAAATGTCCGCAAAAAAATGTCAGCAAAAGGAAATTGTCCGCAAAAGGAAATTGTCCGCAAAATTGTCCGCATTTTTTTCATTTTTCTAAAATTTTAGAACTTCATTTTTTTGTTTTCAGATAAACATTACCGGGTTTAAAAGCTACAAAGACATTACAACAATTCGCGATTTATCGCCCAAACACAATGTGGTTATTGGACGAAATGGAAGTGGAAAAAGCAACTTTTTTGCTGCAATTCAATTTGTTTTGAGTAGTGAATTTACGTCAATTACACAACATAATAGACATGCTTTTTTACATGAAAGTGTTGGAGCAAAGTCTGCTACTGCAAAGGTTTGGGATTGTTTTAAAAAGTTGGAAATTTTTTGAAATGGGCAAGAAGACGGTGCTTTCTGCTGACTCTTCTCCTCCCGTTAGAAGAGATTAAGATTTTTGAAAAGCCTGTTCCTGGGGTCTGGTTTTGATTTATTGACCTAGGCCGGATCTTGGGCCTGTAGTCCAGGAAAAACCCAGGAAGGTCAAAAAATGCATGGGCCTGGACTCTTGGTACATGGTAGAACCAGGTCTTGGTCAGACCCAGCTCGTGCTATAGTTAGTAGTTCGACTTGCGGACAAAACTTGCAGATTATTTATTGCGGATACTGGTTTTTTGGGAGAGATGAAGGTTTACTCCGAAAGCAACCCAAATCGGTGTTAGACTGTTTTTGCAAGTGATAAAATGAGGGAGTGTTTATCCGCAACTTTTGTCCGCAAATTTTAAAATTTTTTGGATAATTTTTAAAAATTAAAGAGGTACTCTAAAAATAGTTTTTAAGTTTTTCGTCCATATTTTAGCTTTCCTTATATTAAATTTTAGGTAGAAATAGTTTTTGACAATATGGACCATCGTATTCCAACAGAAAATGAGGAAGTTCGAATTGTACGTGCACTTACAATGAAAAATGACACATATTATATTGATGGGAAAAGTGTAACGAAAACTGAGGTTTTTTATTGAAAAGTTTTTTTTATTAAAATTTTTATTTTTTAAGATTGTTAATATGATGGAATCTGCTGGTTTTTCACGTTCAAATCCTTATTATATTGTTAAACAGGGAAAGGTTAATTTTAATAATTTTTAGTAAACAGCTTGAAAAAAGCTTGGTAACTGAAAAATAATTTTAATTAAAAAATTAGAACTTGCTATAAGATACCCCATCGAGGTCGAAAAATTTGTAGGTGGGTATCTTTAATAAGTAAAGAGTATTGTTTATGAGGCTTCCCAACCAGAGGTGGGAATTCCGAGTTCCGACTTTTGAGCTTGTTCCGATTTCCGACACTTCGGACTGTTTCGACCCACCTCTGTTCCCAATTTAGAAAACAACCAAGTTTTAAAAAAACGTCCTTAAATAGAGGTGTATTCAGTATTGGAGGAGGTGGTGGCGGGATATCTTATAAATAAAGCGTTTCTTAAATAGAAGGTATCGTGTTTGAGGTTTCTCTACCCACAAGCTAACCAGATTAAAATTCTTAAAAAGAGGTCATATGAGGTTTATCCTAAATAGGAATATCGCTTAGTTAACTTCCCTTCGTCCACTGCTTACCAAATTACTCAAAAAATTTCTTTTTTTTAACAGATAACAGAATTGGCAACAGCTTCAGATGCTTATCGCCTTAAATTAATCAAAGAGGTATTTTTCTTTAATTAAAAAAAATTTTTAAATCAATTTTTTAGGTTGCTGGAACTCGTGTCTTTGATGAGAAAAAAGAGGAAAGTACAAAAATATTGACCGAAACACAAGGAAAGATTGAAAAAAGCGTTACTCTATTAGGCTATATAAATGAACGTCTTAAAAAATTGGAAGAAGAAAAAGAGGATTTGAAGGAATATCAAAAATGGGATAAAATGAAGAGGTTATTTTGAGTTTTTTTTAATGAAAAAAAAATTTTTTTAAAGGTCTATCGAATATACAATTTTTGATAAAGAAATAACTGAAGCTAAAGCAAAACTGGAAAAATTAACTGATCAGCGAACAAAAATAAATACGGAACAAAATAAGGTTTTTAATTTTTGAAAAAAATTTTTTTTGTGTTTCTCTCAGTTTGTGTTGTTTTCTGAAATTATTTTGACATAGAAAAAGATTTTTAGAGACACAAAAATTTTTTTTTCACTTTTTGAAAGATGAATTTTTTGAAGAATGTTTTTGATTTTTAGATATAAAGATCGCTTGAATCTAATCCGGATTTTGTGGTCCAAGTCCAAAGTCAAGATCAAAGAGAGTTTCATATCTTTCTTTGACTTATTTGGAGGGTGAAAGATTTTAAATTTTGGGACTTTGGAGGGCCATATTTTGGCCAGGTCAAAAAACGGCACAAAATTCAAAGGGTACATTCTCGATCGAATGACTATTTAGTGTTGTCAATTCGAAATTGAGGGCAAATTTTTCAAATATTTACTATAATTTAGGGTTCTTTTTGAGACAGATTACTACGGAAAATTTTGTAAAAATACATTTTTAAAATCCCTATCTCTCTGCTTCTTTTTACAAATCACACGCCTAATTATCTATTTTTTTGTTTTGCAGTATGAAACTAGTCTGATAGAAATCAAAATGAAAATTCAAAATACAGAAAAACAAATTCGTGAATTGGATACTCATTATAAAGGAAAAAGAGAAGAGAAGGAGACTTTAGTTAATGAACAAGCAGAATTGATAGAAAAAAGAACACAATTGGAACTTTCTGTTAACGATTTAAAAGCTGAATTTGATAATGAACGAGATGGGAAGGTTTGAAAAAACTTTTCTCTTTTTCTATTGAATGGGAGAAGGGGGTGCTTTTTAATTTTAAGTTATTTTAGGAAAATTTTACGAGAGGAAAACGAGTAATCTATTATTGAAAAAATCACCCAATGCTCAATCTAGACGAAATTTGAATTTGGTTTAGTATACCCCCTCCCTTCTAGACTATAGTGGTCCATCTTTTAATGGACATAACTTGGCTTAAGAAAAAAGTTTTCTATTTAAGGGTACTAAAAATACATATATCAAATTCGCAGTCAGAAAATTTCCTCGCTAGTAATTTTAATGGTTTACGTAAAAAATCTTGAGAGTATTATTATGTGCTATATTTATTGTTCGGGTTGCCGTTTTCGATTCGAGCAGACTTTCGGCGCATTTTTCGGGCTTGATTTTTTTTTAGAGTCGATACATTCGTTTTTTCTAGTAGAATTTTATTGGCCTGAATCGTTCTTTCAATTCTCGAGTCAGCATATATTTCATTAAATTTTTTAGGAAGCTGCTAAACAGGAAAAGCAAGACATAGAACGAGCTATTGCTGAACGCCAAGCACAACTTAATGAACTTCAACCAAATTTTCAACAATTGTTGGAAGAGGTTTGTTTTTTGAAAAAATTTGGTCAAAATTTGAAAAAAAAAATTTTAAAGGAAAGCTCCAAAGATTCTGATATCCGTATACTTGATCAACGTTGTAAAGAACTTTATGCTAAACAAGGACATTTGGATAAATTTAGAACGGTGGCAGAACGAGACAAGCATTTAAATGCTGAAATTCAATGGATAGATAGACAATCAGATGAAATGAAAAATCAAATTAATGAAATTAAAGCCTCAATTAAAGCAGATGAGAATGAAAAGGAAACTTTGGCTCAACGACTTCGGGTTTGATGAAATTTTTTGTTTATTTTGGGGAAATCTCCAGTGCGATTATATTTTAGAATTTTATGCGGATCCTGGAGGATATAATCCCGGGGATATCCGGTTTTAAAAATTTAGGGTATCCGACGATTCTAGTCAGAATATGAGGTATAAAATTTCTTTTCCTTTACAAGGTTCTGGGTTTGGTTCCTTGAACGTGAGATTGACTTTTAAAAATGAGTTTTAATTCATAATCTTTTCTTATAATACTTTTGGTGATCCCACATGATCTTATACTGTTTTTGCCTTTTCCGGATCCGACTACATTAAATTTACCTCCAAATTTTGAAAAATTACTCTCTTAAATGTGATTTGACCATTCACTAATATTTAATTTTTCAGGAAGAAAAGCATATACTCAACGATTTATCTATTAAAATGCATAATTTGAGTCAAGAAATCAAACAAAAAAAAGAAGATCTTAACAGAGCTATAACTTGTCGAATGGATGATTCTCATTCAGAAAAGGAAAAGCGTGAAAAGTTGACAATGGTTCAATACGATGTGAATAGAATGGAAGAAGATTTTAGGCGGTTGACTCCAAAAGTAAGTGATTTCTAAGGGGTTTAAAGGATTTTTAGACATAATAAGAATTTGCGGACTATCCGCATTAATTTGCGGACAGTTTGCATTAATTTGCGGACTATCCGCATTAATTTACGGACAGTTCGCATTAATTTGCGGACTATCCGCATTAATTTACGGACAGTTCGCATTAATTTGCGGACTATCCGCATTAATTTACGGACAGTTCGCATTAATTTGCGGACTATCCGCATTAATTTACGGACAGTTCGCATTAATTTGCGGACTATCCGCATTAATTTACGGACAGTTCGCATTAATTTGCGGACTATCCGCATTAATTTACGGACAGTTCGCATTAATTTGCGGACTATCCGCATATTTTTTAAATTAAATTTACTTCATAAAAATTTTTCTTTCCAAGTCTACTATGAATGGAATAACAAGTATAAAGACAGTTCTCGAAGAATTCAGAGATAAGAGAATCTTTCCTGAAGTTGTCAATGGTTATTATGGTAAGGAGTTTTAAGAACAAATCTATTTTTTTCCAAAAAATTTATTTAAAGGTCGTTTGATTGATCTTTTTACTTGTGCCCCAGAATTTAATAAAGCAATTGAAGTAACAGCTGAATCTCGTCTCTTTTACCATGTTGTCGAGAATGACGATGTTGCAATGAAATTACTTGAAGCTGTTAATGAACGTTCTCTGCCTGGAGAATTTAATTTTTATCCTTTAAAGCGAATTTTGGATACTCAACCTCGAGAAATTGTTGATCAGGTTTTTTGGTTTTAGCTAAATTTGGGGTTAGGAGCTTTCTATTTCCTTTCTTTCGTTTTCTGCCTTAATCCGTGATCTTGTTGTTTCCTAGATCCAGAGCCATGTTAAGGATTTTTCTAGGATTCCATGATTTTTATTCGGCTCAAATTCGAGAATTTGTGCGAGATTAGCATTTTAAAATCAAGAATTATCTTTCTTGTTAAAGAAGGTTTTTTCTTTCAATCTCTGCCCTTCCATGAATAGCAAGGACGTATCTAAGGGGTCGATTTCTGCTAGGCTAAAATTGGGAAGCTTTTTCATTCAAAACAAAAAATAAATCATTCTAGGAAGCTCGTCCACTCATTGAATGTATGCGATTTGATCAAAAATTCAATCAAGTCTTCAAAATGGTATTTAAAGATCATGTTCTTGTGCCTAGATTAGATGTTGGTACACGTGTTGCGCGTAATGAGGCTTTTAATTGTGTTACTTTGGACGGTATGGAATTTTTCTGATCTTTAATAATTATTTTTAGGTGATCAAATAAGCCATCGTGGTCCAATGACGGGAGGTTATATGGATGTTAAACGTTCAAAATTGGATTTGATTCGAAAATTAAAAGAAGCAGAAAATGACAAAAATGATTTGGAGGTTTTTTAAGTTTAAAAATTATTTTAAAAAATTTTTTTAGAAAGAAATTGACCGCTTAACAGAAAGAATTTCTCAAAATCTTAATGGTGTAGATCAAATACGGTTGGAAATTTCAAAGTGTGAAACTCAAATTCAAACACTCAATAATGCTTATCACAATTGCTTGGCTAAAAAACAAATAACTTCTGAATTACTTAATAAATTATCGAACAATGCTGAACCTAAAGTTTGTTTAGAAAATATAAATTTTTTGTTAAATAGTCGGGGGAATCTGTTTGGACAAGGGGGTTATGCTGTCTTTATCTGTTGCAGAATTTCAATTCTGTGCTGTTTTTTTCTGTTTTCCGCTTTTTAAAATCCTTTGTAATGATCCCATCTTCGGTAGAGATCATGTTAAAAAGTGGGGAAGTTGTATGGACAATAGGATGAAGGATATCAGGGCTGTGCGTCATGTCGTTTTGGCGTGGCGTTTGGCGTCCATTTTTGGCCGATTTTGGCGTGTGGCGTGATTTAAGAATTTGAAAAATTGGCGTTTAGCGTTTGGCGCGCCACGTGAAAATTTTGGCGCACAGCCCTGAAGGATATTGTAAATACTCTTTCATTATTATCTGTTAGTTCGAATGTCCGGCAATTCGTTTTTTTACTTAAACTTTGTTATGTACAATTAAGTTACGTCTTTATTTATTATTTTCTTATATATTTTTGGTCCAAAAAATTTGCAAATGATTTACAAAATTTTATATAACCCTAAGAGTCGAATAATTATGCGGACCTTAAATTTCCTCTAAATTAAAATAATTTTTAAAATATTCTAAATTCAGAAAGCACAAATTACCAAACTCAACAATCGACTTAAAGAGCTTACTGCCCAAAAAGTATCAGTCAATAACCAACTTAAAGCTCCTTTGGAGGCTGGATTAACTGAAGCTGAGAGGGATAAAATTAATAAAATGGAGGTTTTTTTTTAAATTTTTTTGGCAAAAAAAATTTTTATTTGAAAGGATGACATTAAAAAGGGTAAAGATGCTCTTGAAAAAATTTCCAAAGATCGTGCTGATTTGGAAAATCGAATACAAACAATTAATAACGAATTACAACACAAATTATTTAAAAAACGAGAGCAATTGAATGCTGTAATTGAATCATTTGATGCTGGTGAAAAATTAAATCGTTTGGATGCACAACAATCAGAAATTAGACTTATTAATGTAAGAGTGAACAAGTTATTGGAATTTGTTGGAGGTTTATTTTAAAATTTTTTGAATTTTTTTAAATTTTTTTTGAGTTTCTTTTTGAATTTTCTTAATAGGAATTAGAGATCGAGTTTTTTGAATGGCCTGGACTTTGGGTATTGACCTGGACCGGATCCTGTGCCAGGAAAGACCCGGGAAGGTCAAAAAAATGCCTGGCCAGGACTTTGGGTACAGGAAAACCGCAGGTCTTGGTCCAGGCCCAGCTCGATCTCTAATATAAATCTAGCCACCATAAGAAATAACTAGTTCCTCATTTATTTAATTCCCGATTTTTGGGGGTCGGATAGACGTAAATGGATTTTAGTGGTCCCAATTTTTTAAATTTTTTTCTTGAAGGGCTGTTAGTCCGTTAAGTATGCCTGTGTTTTCTCTTTTTAACATTTAAATAATTTCAAAATTTTCTTTTTCAGGATTAGATAAGAATATTGAGGAATATAGCATAAAGAAAGCAGCATTGACTGGTGCATTAGAAGAATTACAAGATGAGCAAAAGAAAGCGGAAAAGTCATTGGAAGATTTTGCTAAAAATGCTGAAATTTTTTGTACAAAAATAGCCAATCTTCAATCTAAAAGGGAAGAATATTCTAGAAAGGTTTGTTTGTTGTTTGATTTTTTTATCGTGTAATATTTGCATTAAATCGTGGATTTTTTGGGTCCAGTCATTGATTTATTATCTTGCTAAAAATAGGAAATTTAAAAATATTTTTAGGTCCTCGACCTTTTGACCTGATTTTTGACATAAGTCAAGTAAATTTAAAAGAAGAGAAATTTTGGTCCTTTCCTAAATTTAAAAACAATCAAGAAACTAAAAAAGCCTTGATTTTACTCTGACTCCAGGAAATAATCAAAGTCTGAATCTAAATTGGTTTTATCTCTATTATCTAAATATCAGGGGTGTGGCATTTCGTTTTTCATCTTTCAGTATATTTTGGACTTTCATGTTTCGTTTTTTAAAATTTGTTTCGGCATACCCCTGTTAAATATTGTTGTGATAAAAAAAATATTCCCAAAATTTTCAAAAGAATTCTTGATCTAATTATGCTTAACATCATTTCCTAAATTAAAAAATTTTTTTGAAGATAAAAGAAATTGGTCCATTACCAGCAGATGCCCATGGAACTTATGATAAACTACCATTAAAACAGTTGGATAAAAGATTAACTGAAGCAATGAATCATTTAAAAAAATATGAAAATGTTAATAAAAAGGCTTGTGAACAATTTATTCAGGCAGCCTCACAAAAAGATGATTTGGCTAAAAGAGTGAATGAATTACAGAAAAATGAACAGGTAAATTAAATTGTCTTTTGAAGAAAAAAATTTTTCTTCCTAGGCAATAAAAGACTTGTTAACAGTATTGGAAAATCGACGTTATGAAACTCTTCATTTAACATTTAAACAAGTGGCAAAATATTTTTCTGAAGTGTTTCGTAAACTTATACCTAATGGATCTGCTAATTTGGTAGGAAAAAAATTTGCAAATTATTTTAATAAATTGATTAGGGGATTGATTGGGGGATCCTAGTAGGATCCTGACAGGGATCTTACCGACTCGATTTCCCGAAATCAGGAAATTTATTTTTCTCGGGAATCCCAATTTCCTGAAATCGGTAATTTTGATTTTTTGTCGGCAGGGTTCCTTGTATATAGTTTGATGTGATTTAATCTAGAGATGAGACTTGTGGATTAATCAAGAGGTTTGATCGAACTTTACCGTACTACTGCCTTTTTTCGTTATTCCGTATCGGTAGTGCGGTGCGCATTACCGACCGATCGAAATTCCGATCGCTAATCAAGAGGGTCCATTCCTGAATGTCTACATCAGTTTGATCGATACATCTAGTATCTAAATTATTTTTTACATATTTAATCTAGGGGGATTTGAAGGACTAGAGTTGAATAAGGCCCTCAATTTTGTGTTGATCAAACCGGTGTAGTATTTTATTTTCCTCACATTTTTTGTTTAGTCATTTCAATAAAAATAAATTTATTTTTTAAGGTAATGCAAACATTGGAAAAAAGTTTAAGTACACGTTCTACAACAACATTATCTCATAGTACAACATTGCAAAGTGGTGCTGAAACTGAAACTACAATTGGTGAACAACCATCTATGCCCGAGCGTGTTTTGCATGATTTGGAAACTTTTGTTGGGACAAGTATTAAGGTATATATAGAGGGAAATGAAAGGATTTTTGATACTTTTCTTTGTTATCGGCCCACATTTTTATTTTATTTTTTCCCCCTTCTATTTTTTCTTATATACAAAATGGTCAAACTTCCTTACTCGATTTCACTCCGTTTCCCTGTAACATCTTCACAAATGCGAGATATTAATAAACTAGTGAAGAAAAGTAAAATTTAAAATCTTTTTGGTACTCAAATTTGCTGTGCGACGAACCTTCCACTTTTGTGTGCTCAGCTCTTCATTTTAGAGCCTATGGTCCATTGTACTCAGGGTGTGTAGAAGATTTTTGTTTTCCTATAAAAATGAAAATACCGATTCTGGTATAGCTGCCATGGGGAAACGGGGGGAAATTGAGGAAGGAAGAGGTTTGAACGTTGTGCGTATATTAAGAAAAAATAGAAGATGGAAAAAAGAAAATAAAATGTGGGCCGATAACAGAGGAAGTACCGGGATTTTTTGAAATTTTTTTTGGTTTTTTTCAAAAAATTTTTTTAAGGTTTCATTCACTGGTGGTACAGAAACTAGAGACATTACTTCACTTTCTGGAGGTCAAAAAACTTTGGTTGCTTTAGCCTTAATTTTTGCTATTCAAAAATGTGATCCAGCACCTTTTTATTTGTTTGATGAAATAGATGCTGCTTTGGATCAAGAACATAGAAGGGCGATTGCTGGTAAGGAAACTAAAATTTTTTTGATTTTTTATTTGAAAAATAGGGGAAAAATATTTTAAAATGAATTTAATTTTGATTTTTTAAGATTATTTTTTTTACGAGAAAAAATTAAATTTCCAAATATTATTACTGCATAAATTAAATGGGACTTTATTTTTATCTAAAAATTTAATTTTTTTTCCAAAAAATAAAAAATTTAAAAAAATTAAGAGGGGAGAAAAAAGGCAAAATAATTAACAGTCTACTATTTATAAATATTTTTTAAAAATCTAATTTTATTTAAAAAATTTCAGAAATGATACATGATCTTTCCCAAACTGCACAATTTATCACGGTATTTAAATTAAAAAAATTTTTTTCCTACCCAAATATTTTTCTTTTAAAAAAGACAACATTCCGTGCTGAATTGTTAGAACATGCCGAAAAATTTTATGGTGTTCGTGTACGTGATAAGGTGTCTTATATTGATGAGGTGAAGTTTTTTTAGTTGATCGAATAAAAAAATTTTTGTGTGTGAATAAGGGGATAATCTGTGGGGATATAAGAAATGTGCCATTCCGACACCTAAATATCCGCAATTATTCCACTCCTGATAAGGATAAGGGGATAATCTGTGAGGATATGAAGCGTTTCTTTCTGATTCCCTAAAATTGGTAATTTATTTTTTTATGTTGGCACGATCACTGGTTGAAATATTTAAAAAAAAAATTTTTTTTTGGAGAAAGAATTCTTTAAAGATTTTTTTTGGGGAAAGACAAATAAAAAATTTGGTTTCTTCCTTTTGTTTCGGTTAAATAAAAATTTCTTTTCCCTTTTAAAATTAATATAAAATTATAAATTTTTTTAGATAGCAAAGGCGTCAGCTTTTGATTTTGTGCAAGATGATCAGGCACATACTTGAAAATTATATTTATTAATTTTGAGACAAATTTAAAAGAAATACTTATTTTTTTTTGGTTACTTTGACTATTTTTGGGAATCTTAATTGAAATTTTAATTATTTATTTTGTGTAAGGGTGGTGATTTTTTCTGGAAAAAATTTTTTTGTTTTGAATTTTTTTAAACGGCCAGAAAATATTCCTCTTGAATATTTATTTTTATCAATTAAAAAAAAATTTTTTTTAATTGGTTGTCTACCCTCCCTATAATCTTTTTAAAAAATTAAATCACTAGACCTTTTAAATTTTTTGCCCCTTATAAATATTTAATATTTTCTCTAAAAATTTTGGATCTCCTCTCTATTTTAAACACACACATCAGGGGTGTGCGCGTTTCGCCTTTCGCGGATTTTCGCGTTTTTTGGACTTTCGCGTGTCGCTTTTTTAAATTTACTTTCGCGTTTCACTTTTTAAATTTAATTTCGCCTTTCGCGTTTCGCTTTTTAAAATCCGTTTCGGCACACCCCTGACACACATTATAATTTATGTTTATTTAAAAAATTTTGGAAATAAAATATTTTTTATATTTGGTTTTGAATTTTTTTTTATTAATTTTTGAATAATTGCATATTTTGTTTAAATTTTTTTTTAATTTTTAAATAATTAGGAAAAATTTTTTAAAATTAATTTTATCATTTCTCGTCAAAAATATTTATTTTTTCCCATTAGGAATTCCCAGTCTTTTAGTGCATTAATTAAAAACAGTCACACCATTTTTATTTCGAGAATTTTGTGGGAATATTTTAATTTTAATTTAATACTTTTTTAATTATAGAAAAATGGATTTTATTATAATTATACGTTTCCGCACAATTTTTTTAAGAAAAATCGACCCAACAAAAACCTTTTCTCAATCTGTAACATCCCTTTTCCTCAATACACGTGAGAATCACCTCACATCTACTCTCTCGTTCGTTTTATTTTTTTAAATAATGGGTGACGTGTAAATGAACTCTAACTAGAGATCGGACCGAGACGAGATCTCGATTCTCTTACGACCTTCCAGGGTTCGGTTTATAACTCCAACTATATTTAAATTTTCAGAAAAAATTTTTGTAATTAAATTAATAATTTTTTTAATAAATTTTAGTGTTCTTATTTTGTGTTCTCATGGAAACTTGTTCTTTTTACTCTTTAACAAATAAACACAAAAATCAATCATTTAATATTTATTTTAGAATTAAGGAGAAATTTATTTATTTTACAATTTTTTTTGTTGTAATTTAAATTTAATCTTTCGTCAACTAAAATATTGTTACATTATTTTAAAAAACTTTTTTTAAAGAAAAAATATATTAATTAATTTTCTAAAAAAATTTCTCCCTCCCTCTGAAAAGAAAAAATTCCCAAACTATGAACAACAAAATTTAATTTATGGACATATTTAATGCTGAATAAATTTAGTAGAGTGTGAATTATTATTTTTTAAAATTAATTAATTTTTAAACGAAATTTAATAATTTTTTAATTTAATCGTTCTCTTCCTTCTCCCTCTTCATAAACCAAATAATGGCAAAATTGTAATTCTGGTTAAGTGGGTAAGAGCGCTGACTTCACCATCACCTTTATAAATAAGGAGTACCGGGTTCGAATCCTTTCACGATTAATTAATTTTTTTAATTAAGTAAAGATTGTAAGGCATCAAATAAATGTTTTTAAACAATATTTTTAGGTCGTAGAATTTTTTAAAACTTTTTAAAGACAAAAATTTCCAAAAAAATAACATTTTTCTAGGCATATCCTTACCTCTCTCTTATTTAATATTTCTGTAATAATTCCAAAAACTTTTTTATTATTCCAACAACTCCAAAAATAATAAATTCACAAATTTCCTTCCCTGACATGGGAAAAAATTTTTTGTTTTTAAAATGATTTTAGTTGATTTTTGATTTTAAAATTAATTAAAAGGGTCCAATCATAATTGGAACATTTGGGAAAAATTTTTTTTTGAATTTTTCTTTTCTAATTTAATTTTTATAGTTGAATTTTTAAAAATTAAATAATTAATTTATTTATTAATTTTATTTTTTAGAAAAAATAATGTCTCAAAATTCCTCTTCAAAATTTCAATGTGAACTTTTCCTTTTACCCCCCATATTTAGATCTTCAACAAAAAACAATTTAAATATTAAAAATAAACAAACATTTTTATTTTCTCCTAATCTATTAGAAAATTTATTTCTTCCAATTTCTATTTCTGAGAATAATGAAAAATTAAATAAAAATATTTTAAAAATATTTCCAGAGGATATACTCTCAGCAAGTCGTTCTTGTTTGGGAAGAGGTGGATTTTCTTTTATAAATACAGGGTTACTTAAACAGTTGTAGGATACTTTGAAATTCTTAGAAAAATCATAGTAAGCAGCTTAATCCATCCAGAAAAATAGAAAAAGATTAGATGGGCTTAATTTTGAGAGCTCCTCTTGTTAACCGCTCAACTGTCCCCTGTCGTTTTTGTTTTTTTTATCTAGTAGGCTGGGAAGAAATTTCGGGCAGGCCTTACATTATTAAGAGGAAGATTTGAAATGAACAAATATTAAGTGAATAAAAGCTTGACTATATCAAAAACTTAGAGGGCACCAAAATTTCGACCACAAAGGTTACTTGGTCCCCAAACTAGATCTATTCCTTTATAAAAACAAAAAACATTTTGTGACCAAAATTTTGGGAGACTGCTCTATGGATAAGAAAGAGACCCAAATTTTTCTAAGAAAAATCAATTAAGCCCAGTACCTAACGGATTATATAAAATAATTATATTTTTAGACAATTCCCCACCCCAATTTTTATTTGTTGCTTATCCACTTTACCAAGAAAATAATAAAAATGAGCAGAGGCGAAGAATACGTCTACAAGCTAAATTAACTTTATTGTCTAACAACAGTGACGATTTTATTATTTTTGAAAATGTTTTTAATAAATGGATTGGGACTTCTTTAGGTAGAAATTAATTAAATTTGAAAATTAATTCTGATTTTCTCCAAATTCTCCATATTTCTCTTATTTCAGTGTCTTGCCCATGAAAAGATTTCAGAATTTATCAGAATAAAACTAAAAATTATCAGAATTACACCCAGAACAATCAGAATTAATATCAGAATAAAATCAGAATTTTTCAGAATAAAATCAGAATTTATCGGAAAAAATCAGAATTAATATCAGAATTAAAATCAGAATTTATCGGAAAAAATCAGAATTAATATCAGAATTAAAATCAGAATTTATCAGAAAAAATCAGAATTAATATCAGAATAAAATCAGAATTTATCGGAAAAAATCGGAACTAAAATCAGAATAAATCAAAATATATCAGAATTAATATCAGAACTTATCAGAACAAAATCAGAATTTTACCTACTATAGTTATTATTTTCCCCTTTTAATTTCTAGCCCTCCATCAACCATTAACAAATTCATCCAATCGTCGAAGAATACTTGTTTTACTCAACCCATTTAGTGGACAACAACAAGCTTTAAATTTGTGGGCAAATGAGGTAGAAATGATCTGGAGAGAAGCTGGCTATCAAATTGAGATAATTGTTACAGAACGGCCTTTTCATGCGACTGAGTTGGCAGAACAAATTTGTTTGGATAGAGTGGATATATTGGCGCTTGGAGGGTAAGGGGAGAATTTAAAAAAAACATTTCAGAATATTAACAGGATTATTTTCAGAACAGTCAGAAAATACCAGAATTAATTTTTTAAATCAGAATTTATTTCAGAATTAATTTCAGAATAAAGTCAGAAAATAACTTTTAGAATCAGAATTTTATCAGAATTAATTTCAAAAAATCAGAATTAATTTTCAGAATAAATCGGAAAATACACGAATTAATTTCAGAATTTCAGCAATAAAATCAGAATTATTTATAATTTCAGAACTATCTTCAGAAATATTCTCAGAATAAATCAGAAAATAACAGAATTAATTTAATAAAATCAGAATTTTATCAGAATTAATTTCAAAAAATCAGAATTAATTTTCAGAATAAATCAGAAAATAACAGAATTAATTTAATAAAATCAGAATTTTATCAGAATTAATTTCAAAAAATCAGAATTAATTTTCAGAATAAATCAGAAAATAACAGAATTAATTTAATAAAATCAGAATTTTATCAGAATTAATTTCAAAAAATCAGAATTAATTTTCAGAACAAATCAGAATTAATTCTGATTTAATTTTACTTTCAGAATTTAAATTAATCTCATTTTAGAGGCGACGGAATCGTTTCAGAAGCGCTCCACGGTCTCTGTTCCAGAGCAGATCACGAGCGCGCTCTTCGCCTCCCAATTTTACATTTACCTATGGGTACAGGGAATGCTTTAGCTTCTTCAATTGCTTACCAGGCAAAGTGAAAATTAAAAATTTTTTTTAATTTTTAAAAGTCCCTTCCTTTCAGTGAACCTTTCCCTCCACGTGGCTCTTTTTGTCAACAAATGGCTTTAATGGCTATTCGGCCAAATTTTAATCGTTTATGTCTTTATCAGGTAGAAATTGAAGGTGGAAGAAGAAAAGGACAAAATAATAAAAATAATAATCAATGCAAAATAATGTTCCTCTCGTTAAGTTGGGGGCTAATGGCTGATATTGGTAAGGAGGAGGTATTTTATAAATTATTGTGAAGGAAAATTAATTTTACTGTCGTAATCAGAATTAAATCTCATTTATCCCATCTTGCTAGTGAACAAATTTCAGAACAGAATATGTCAGAATAAAACCAGATTGTCAGAAAAATCAGAATTAAAATCAGAATTAAACCAGAGTTGGATTAGAATAGACCAGAAATTATCAGAATAAATCAGAATTAAAATCAGAATGAAACCAGAAAAAATCAGAATAAATCAGAATTAAAACCAGGGTATAATTTCGGAATACTGAACAGAAAGCAAATGGGTCAAGTTATATGTCATTCGAAAGAGCTCGCCGAGTTGAGTCGAATGGTGAAAAAATTTTCGTGCGGACTCATACAGGGGCTGAGATACAGGTCCCCGAAAATCGAAAAACCATAGGGGGGACCAAGCACTTTTTTGGGGTCAAAAATTCGAATATGCAAATGATAGCTCATTCGAAAGAGCTCCTCGAGCTGAGTCGAATGACACCAAAATCAACGAAATCCGACTTGCTTGGACAAAGTTATGCTCTTTTATTTTAGCTCCTTACCTATGTCATCTGTGGAGATTTTTGCTGCTACGGAGGCCCCAAATAAGTCCAGAGCAAGGGAGATAGGAATAGGTTTATGTTACGAGCCCAGACCCATCGCCCGTAGACTCCCCGCGAGGCGCGTGCCGCAAAACCCCGCGCGAAGCGCGGGGTTTTGCACAAGCGCCTCGCCGCCGACCCATAGGTTTAGGTTTTTTTGTCGTAACTTTGTCTAATCTTGTTTAATCACGGTGATTTTGGTGTCATTCGACTCAGCTCGTCGAGCTCTTTCAAATGAGGTATAATTTACATATTCGAATTTTTCACCCCCAAAAACAGCTTGGTCCCCCCTATGGTTTTTCGATTTTCGGGGACCTGTATCTCAGCCCCTGTATGAGTCCGCACGAAAATTTTTTCACCGTTCGACTCAACTCGACGAGCTCTTTCGAATGACATATAGTTTGACCCATTTGCGTTCTGTTCAGTATTCCGAAATTTTTCCAAAACCAGAAATTATCAGAAAAAATCAGAATTAAAATCAGAATGAAACCAGAAAATATCAGAATCATCTAGCCTACATTCTCTGTTGCTGTGGGTAGGTTGGCGTATCCTGGGGAATCTTCGGATATCCGGACCCATCAATCTAACGTGTGAATATAGCAACAAAATGTTTCCTAAATTTTCTAATTTTTTTAATTAAGACATTGGAAGTGAACGTTTTCGTTTCCTCGGAATGGCACGTCTTCATTTAGAAGCTTTCCTTCGAGTAGCATTCCTTCCATACGTAGCAAGATATAAGGCTCGTATATCTTATTTGCCTTTACCTGAAGGACGGCTACGTAATAAAATAATGGAAAAAATGAGAATGAGGGTTGAGGAAAGGAGGGAGGAAATTGAAAAAGATGAGGAAGAAGAAAGTGGAGATTTTGAAGAGATGATTAAAGGAATTGAGGTAAGGAAGAAATCTGTGGAATTAAAAAAGATTATTTGCGGACATTATTTGCGGACAAACATTTGCGGACAATATTTACGGACAAACATTAGCGGACAAACATTTGCGGACAAACATTTGCGGACAAATATTAGTGGCAAATATTTGCGGACAAAAAATTGCGGACAATATTTGCGGAAAAACATTTGCGGACAAACATTTACGGACAGAGCCAGAATAAACCCCTTAATTAATTCACGTCCACTGAGTCTTGGGTAATACTTTTTGTTACCGTCGAATACATATACTCCTTGGAACTGAAGAATCGTATTTAAAATGAGGAGTATATCTTAAAATAAGAATATCACTTGGGTATTGTCCGCAATTAAATTTGTCCGCAAATTTAAATCAACAATTTTATTTGTCTGCAAACGTCCACCCGCCGATAATGGCATTCCAATTTAAAAAAATTTTTTTTTCACCAGATACCTCCACTCGATCAACCAGTCCCCTCAAATTGGCAAACAATTGAAGGTGTATTTCTCCTGATTTTTAACAATTTTTCTTTTTCTGATTTTTGACAATTAAATTTTCTCTTTTCAGAAGAATTTTGTTTTGTTCATATTGCCGCCCTTTCCCATATTGGCTCAGATCTTCCTTATATTCCCAGTGCAAAGCTTGATAACCCCGTACTTTTTCTTACTTTTGTTCAATGGCAAAAAATTTCTCATAGATTACACATGGCAAAAATATTGCTTAGGTTAGGGAGGTCTTTTAATTGGAGACAAGGAAAAAATAATTTTTCCCTTTTTAAGTATTGATACGAGTGCTCATTTGTATGACCCTGCATTTGAGGTGAGAAAAATAACAAATAAGGGCTCACCTTCCAGAAAAATCAAAATTTTACTTGAATAAAATCAGAAATTTACTAAAATTAATTTCAGAATTTATCAGAATTAATATCAAAATAAATCAGAATTTTTAAAATAAAATCAGAATTTTACCAGAATTAAATCAGAATAAAATCAGAATAATTCTATTTTTATTCTGAAATTAATTCTGATTAAAATTCTGATTTATTTGAAAAAATCAGAATTCTGATTAAAATTCTGGTAAAATTCTGATTTAATTTCAACAATTCAGAATTTCTGATTTTATTTACGAAATCAGAATATACTTTTAAAAATACTTTTCCACAGATAATCCCCATTTTGGCTTGCCGAGTAAACCCAGAAAAGGATGCTGGCGGCTGGTTAGCATTGGATGGTGAAGCAGTAATAAATGATGGGAAGGTTAAAAGGACTTTATTCTTTTTCAACAATCAAAGTTTATTTGCAGAATTCTTCAATGTCCTTTCAAGTCGGTCCAGGTAATAATAAAAATGCTACAATTATTGGACGTCAAAGGAGATGAAAAGAGAACGGAAATTAATTTTTTATTTTAATGTAAATTCTTTATTTTTATATTTTTTTTTGTAAATATGTAGATAGAGGATAGATAAATTTATCGAGGTGTAAGGAGATCAATAAAAATATCGATCAATTTGTATCCACAACAAATAGAGGAAGTGTTAAGGAAATTTATAACAAAGGGAGGGGATTTTAGAAAATTGCGGACAATTTTTCGTATTTTGCGGACAACAAGTTACGGATTTGAAGATCACTTCTTGTCTGAAATCAGGCCTTCCACAAACGTTCCTTGTACAATGAAAATGACACACAACAGAAAGATGAGGTAAAAAAAGTCGAAAAAAATCGAGGGGACGATAAAATTGAAGGGTCAGCAAAACAACAAATCAATAGTTGTCTTTAACAACAGCCAACTAGAACTCAAAAAATACTCAATAGATAAACAAAACGAAAACTTTATTTTTTTAAGTGCCTTATGAGAAATTAACAAAATTATTTTTTTAAATTAACAAAAAATGGCACATTTTTCTTTTAGTCATCTTTGGTCCCCTCACATCTTCTCGTACTTGCGAACCGCCTTGACCCCGCCGCTCTCGCATGTAATGACCATTTTGCCATCTCCATCAACGTAGCGCTTAAAAAGAACAAAAATTTTTCAAAAAAATTTCAAGTTTCCCACCTCAATGTGGCTGTCCTTGTCCTTTTCACTGATCTTCTTCTGCTCTTCAACGAGCTTCCCATCAGTAAAAGTAAAGGTGCTCATCAATGTGCGCCCATCAGCGGTCTTCTGCTCCTTCGATTCTCCAATTTTGAAGTCGCAAACCCAATTAGCGAAAGTTGAGGTGGAAGTCATCTTCCAGTTGTCACCATCAACTACAAACTCGAGAACGGCTAGAAAAATGAAAAATTTTGTTCGAAAGAATTTTTGAGAATTTAAAAATATTTTTACGTTTCACAGCGGCAGCAGTGGCACGAACGACCATTCCAACGCCAACCTCTTTGAGGTAGTCATTAAAATTGTCGGAGTCAGTAAGTTTCCACTTTCCGACGAATTTGTCAGCCATTTTTAAATAAGAACTTTAGAAGGTTGAAAATATGAAAAGTCTGAAAAAAATGAGAGAAGGAATTTAAAAAGTTTTGCAAATGGAAGGGGAAATGCAACAACCAAACAACAACAAAGCTAAACTATTAATGGAATTCGATAAATACTCCTACTAGATTGTGTAAACAAGAGATAAGGAAAAATAAAAATTAATAAAAAAAACACTGGGAAAAACATAAAATGATCTTTGTTCATTAATTTGCCCCTTTTATAGTACAACTTTTTTAAACTTTAAAAACAGAACGCCAAAATATTTTAATTTATTTTGGTGGAAATTTAAAAGAGGCTTTACTTTTCTGTTTTTTGTTTTTGTTAAGCTTCTCTGAAACTCTAACAGAGACCTTATTGTAGAAATCCGACCCGAACGCCTAACATTTGGGGAGATCCGACGTATCCTGCCCGGCGCACACGGCCTTTATTGATTTTTCGTTCGAACCTAGCTAGAATACCCTTGGGTTTCTTTTGTTAATTTGGCTGACTCATAATCTGATTTGTTTGTCCAATATTATTTTTAGAGAACGAGCTGGATCCAGACCTTGATTTTTCCTTGGTTCAGAGTCCAGATCAAGGCATTTTCCCGAGTTCCTTGATTTTTCCTTGACTCAAGGTCAAGAATCTGGTCAAGGTACCCAACCGAAATTAAGAGTCAAGGTTTTTCAAAATCTTAAATACCTTTAAAAAAAAATACCTTTAAATAATTTAATTTTCAGAAATTTATCAATTAAAAATAAATTTACAATGGTTTTTGAAAATGTAGTTGCGGACTTGCTCAATCGTTTTTTGGGTTCTTACATTGACAATTTAAATGCTTCTCAATTAAATATTGGAATTTGGGGAGGTTTTTTGTTTTTAAAATTTTTTTTATTTTTTATTTAATTTTTTAAGGAGATGTTAAATTAAATAATTTGGATATTAAAGAAACAGCTTTAGATGATCTTGACCTTCCCGTTAGACTTAAATTTGGCTATATTCAAAGTCTTGTACTTAAAATACCTTGGAAATATCTTTATACTGAACCGACTATTGTTAATATAAGGTATCTTGTTTTTAAATAATTCTAAGGTTTTTAGCATAACTCTGGACTTTGTTGATTCGAAATCCGTCCCGAGGGAAATCTTGAAAACTAGCTAACCCGACTGTCTTCTCACAATCAACCCGGCCAATCCCTAACGGTTTTAATATGAGGTGTGTTTCAGATAGAGATACCCTCTCTTGACTATCACCTCTACCCGATGACCAACCAAAAACGTCTCCTGAATCGAGTTGTATCAGTATTGGGGCTGTAACTTACAAGGGCGTATCCAGGGGGTCGGTTTCGGGGGGGGGGGGGGGGCTAACACTGGGTGGGCGCAAAAATTTTTGGCGTTTACCTTGGCGTTCCGGACGCAAATTTTTTTGTACATAAATTTTCATCTTTTCTGCGCCGCAGGCGAAAATTTTTTGGAATTTGAGGGCCGTAGGCCAAAAAAGTTCACTTTTTAGCGCCGCAGGCGAAAATTTTGAGGATTTTGGAGCTCAAGAAGCCAGATTTCTTCCATTTTTTGCGCCGCAGGCGAAAATTTTTTGGAATTTGAGGGCCGTAGGCCAAAAAAGTTCACTTTTTAGCGCCGCAGGCGAAAATTTTGAGGATTTTGGAGCTCAAGAAGCCAGATTTCTTCCATTTTTTGCGCCGCAGGCGAAAATTTTTTGGAATTTGAGGGCCGTAGGCCAAAAAAGTTCACTTTTTAGCGCCGCAGGCGAAAATTTTGAGGATTTTGGAGCTCAAGAAGCCAGATTTCTTCCATTTTTTGCGCCGCAGGCGAAAATTTTTTGGAATTTGAGGGCCGTAGGCCAAAAAAGTTCACTTTTTAGCGCCGCAGGCGAAAATTTTGAGGATTTTGGAGCTCAAGAAGCCAGATTTCTTCCATTTTTTGCGCCGCAGGCGAAAATTTTTTTAAATTTGAGGGCCGTAGGCCAAAAAAGTTCACTTTTTCGACCATCCATCTCCTAATTTCTTCCCCTTTCCCCCATTTCGGGGGGGGGGGCTCTAGCCCCCCCCCCCCCAGCCCCCCCTGGATACGCCCTTGGTAACTTATATATAGGATCGACTGTATAAATTTAATTTTTTTCAGTGAAATTTACATGATAATTGTGCCTAACCAAGGAATTGTTTATAACGAAGAGAAGGCTAAGAAAAATGAACAGGAGGCGAAGCAAAAGAAACTGGCTAGACTTGAAGAAAATAGACGAAATAAACTTAGTAAATTTTTTATTTAAACAGATTTTATACAAATTTTATTTTTCTTTTAGAACAAAATGTCCAAACAGACGATACTTTCACTGAAAAATTGGTTGCACAAGTTATTAAAAATTTGCAGATTCGAATAAAACGAGTTCATTTACGTTATGAAGACAAATTTTCTAATAGAGGAAGGCCTTTTGCTACGGGAGTGACTCTGGATTCTCTTAACTTTCAGGTTTTTTGATATTTAATTTTTGCGGACAATTGCATTCTTTGTCCGCAAGTTTTTTAGACATTTGACGGGACGATATTGTTAAGGATAGAATTGCCTTTAGATGCACATTGGGGTTATAAGGGCTTTCTAAAAATAATTTTTGCCACTTACAAAAGACAGTTCTTTGGGTAGTCTTTGAGGACAATTGTATTTTTTGTCCGCAAGTTTTCTAGTCCTTTAACGGGATGATATTGTTAAGGGTAGAAATGTCTTTATACGCACCTAGGGGTTGAAAGGGCTTTCTAAAAGCAATTTTTGTTACTAACAAAAGACAGTTCCTTGGGTAGACACAATGTCTGACAAGGAATCATTCTTTACTGTGACTGCGAATTTGATATTTTTTTGGTACCCTTCGATAGAGGACCCTCGATTTAGCATTGTTGTTTGCGGGTTTTCTTGCAAAATAAGTTTGGGCCGAGTTATGGCCATTTAAAGTTTGACCGCTGAACCAACTTTGTTTCCACTTCTCCTTACAAATTAGGCAGTGATTGTCCACAGCAATTGTTACCCATAAAAAATTATTTTTTCTATTTCTTATTTTTAGACGACTGATGAAAACTTCCAGTTGACAGTTCAAAAAGAAGCCGTTAAAATATTTTACAAGTAAAATTTAGAATAATTAATGATTTATAAATTCAAAAAATTTTTTAAAGGCTCGTCTCGATGAATCACTTAAGTATTTATTCTAATGCTGGATCTACCCTTATTTCTGATTTGTTTGATAAAAAAGAAATTACAAAAGCATTGTGTAATTCTATTTCTACTGATACTAGTCGGCCTGAAGGATATAAATATGGTTAGTTTTTTATTAATTTTTTTTGAGGGATTAGGGTCATTTCAACAAAATTCGATGAATTATATTTTTAATTTTTGAGGCTAGGTTCTGGTTGTCGAAATTTTTAAAATTACTGACCAACCATTTTCAATTGTAAAGTTATTTTCCAGAGAATAAGGCTCATTATTCTGGCTAAATTTTAGAGTTAAAATTTCTTAGGGTTTGTGAGAAATATTTAAAAAATTAGAAATTCTGTGAAAAGTCATTTTGAGGGGTTTGGTCATTTTTTTGAGGGGTTGGGTAGGCCCCTCTCATTTCCTCCTCTCAAACTCAAAAAGCCTTCTATGTCAGCATATTTTAAGGAATAGTCCCCAATCTTATTTTTTTATTTAAATTTTTAGTACTTGAACCCTTATCTCTAAATGCCAAATTAAAATTAAATCAAAAACCTGAAACTGACGGTTCTGACTGGACTATTCCAAAAGTTGATTTAATTTTACAATTGGAGAAACTTGCTTTGGCTATTGGAAAATTTCAATATCAAGACTTTCTTTTATTTTTGGAGGCACAAGAAAGATTTAATTTGTCAGCACAATATTTTAAATATAGACCAAATTTGATTGAATATAAAAATCATTACAAGGAATGGTACTAAATTTATTTTTATTAATTAATTTTGCTAACAATAACTAAAAATATTGGGCACCCTAATTTCTATTTTAAAGGGGAGCCAAGAAAAAATATTGAATAACAGGGTCCGTCTAGAACAGAGTTGGTCCCCGACTCCTCGTCCCCGCCAAACAATGATTTTTTAGACTCCATTTCCGTTCCAATCCCCGACATCCCTGTTGCTTGAAAAGTTCTCCCCGACGGGTCGGATCTCTCCTCGTCCACTCCCGACAATGATTTTTAGACTCCAGACTCCTATCCCCATCCAAATTACTGTCCTGATCTTCGACAGCTTTTTTATCCGAAAAAGTTCTCCCCGATGTCGGATCTTCTTTTTACAATTAGTCAAGAATCAAAAAATATTTCGCTGTTTTTTGAATCCTTTCAAAAAGTTTGTTGTTCATGTAAAAAGTAGAAATATACGAGGCGAAAAATTATTAACTCAAAAACTTCAAATCAAAAAAATATTTTTTTCAATTTTATTTAAGGTGGAAATTTGCTTACAATTGTATACTTCATGAACATGTTAAACGACGTCGAAATAATTGGTCTTGGGAAAGGATGAACAAACATAGACAAATGGTTCGAGATTATAAGGAAGCTTGGATTGTTTTTAGAACGGAGAAGAATCCAAATGAATTGGTTAAAAAGACGATTGAGGTAAAGAAAATTTGGCTATATTACTGTTTATGAGTCCAATCGAACTTTATTAGTCCAATCGAAAATAATTGGTTTTCTTGGTGTTGCCAGTTTGGGGTATGGGTTTAAAACATCTCTTCACGTTCGGGACCTACACCCACGATTTTCTTTTTCCGAAATTTCGAGGGATGAGTAAGGAATGGTCTCAGACCCATTGGGCGTAGGTCCTGAACATGAAGAAATATTATGGAACTATACCTCTACTTTGAAATACCAAGAAAAATCCAATTATTTTTTGGTTGGACTCATAAAGTTCGATTGGACTCATAAACTGTAGTAGAGCCAAAAAAATTTTTCAAAAATTTTTCTCTTGAATTTTAGAACGTAGAAGAGACTCTCGATGTTTTTAACCTTAACATTGCTAGACAACAAGCAGAATTTGAAATTGATAGACGTGATGATTTAATACGTGTTGAGGATCAAAAACAGGAGGGATGGGTTGGTTGGGCTAAAAGTTGGTTTGTTGGAAGTGGCAAAAAAGCAGAGACGGAACAGACAGAGGCTGATGCAAAAATTATGGAAAAAATTGAACAAGCTGTTACACCAGAAGAAAAACAAAAATTATTTGAAGCTATTGACTATCAGGTTAATATTTTTTTATTGTTTTTTGTGGCTGTAACTTTGTGGGTTATGACAAAAGTTTTTTGGTCGAATTCTAAAGGTCTAGATTCGGGGGGTTTTTTCCGGGGGAATCATTCTATTTATTTATTTTTGTTGGGTAAGTTTATAGACTTTATATACGAAAAGCACATATGTATAAAATTTGTGATCTCTTCCACTTTTATCTTCCGCCGATTTCTGTCTTTCTTGCACTCCTGCCTTCCGGTTTTTAAATACGGTAGGGCCTATCCCTGGCATATCTATATCCTTTTCTTGCTCATTTTTTGGGCTGATTTTATTTGTATAGAAGAATTTCTATTTCTTGTATTATGTATTTTCTGTCAAAAATATAAACATAAAAATCTCTAGTAGCCCTGGCACTAATCATGTAGGATCTCAACTTTTGTTTACTTTTCTCTTTAAGGAAAATACTCCACCAACCGATTATCCAAAACATTTTGTTGAAAATCGAATAAATTTTGGCCTAGCATCAGTTGTAATTTCTTTAGAAAATGTTCTCGAAATGTGCTTTGCTGATTTGACAGCAAATTTGGATCATCGTCCATCTGCAAATGCTATCAAGTTTTTTTTAATTTTTTCTTATTTTTAAGCTTATTTTTTTAAAGGTATATTTCTTGTATAAAATCTTTTGAAATGAATGCCTTCCAAGAAAATGCAAAATCCCAATCAATATTAAAGATGACCGATTCTAACCGGCCTTGGCTTAAAATGCAAATTGAAACAAATCCTTTAAATAAAGATTTTGATCAATCAGTGGAATTACTTGTTGCGCCTATAATGCTGATGTATCATGCTCCGGCAGTAAATAAAGCTTTGGATGTTTTTAAACCTCCTGAAACTGTTCGACTTCAACAATTGACTGCTTTGGCTATTGCAAGATATGAGGAAGTTAAGGTTGGTTGGTAGTGTTTTTTTTGAGTTTATTAATTTCGTTACACAGAATATTAGTTCTAGTTTAGGAGTAATGACCTAGGGGTGTGCCTTCCATAAATTTTAGTCTTTCTTTAGTATTTTGTTTTTCTTTTTTTTACTCCTCTTTTGGAATGCTCCTTTAGCGAATCTAATTTTTTCTAACTCAACTTCTTGATTAAAAATGTGTTAATTTTGATACAATTTATTGACTGATTCTTTCTGCTAGTTTAATCGATGATTGAGACTTTCTTTTAACTCCAATATTTACTTTAAAAAATTATAACTCCCGTTCCATTTTTTAGGCCCGTTCTACTACAGCTTTGCAACATATGGTAGAACAAAAACGAAAATTAAAATTGGAGATTCAAATTGATCCTGCTACAATCGTTTTGTGTGCTGGAGGTGTTTTTGATGAAGGAAAGAATGTTTTAGTTGCAGAATTGGGACAACTTAATTTAAATACAAAATCACAATCACCTGAAAGGGCTTATGAAAAGGTTTTTTTTGAAGATTTTCTGAAGAAATTTTTATTTTTCTTAGATACTTGACCCAAAATTAAAATCTTTGATGGCACAAGCTTATGATAATTTCCAATTGAGCCTTTCAAATGTACAATTAATTTTTGCTGATACTTTTAAGACGTGTATGCAAGCAAGGAATGATAGATATTCTCCATATCATTTATTAAAACCTACAAATATGGTTATTGATGTGCTTCGTTCAACAATTGATGATCTTCAATTACCCATGTATTTTTTTGTAAATTTAAGAATTAATTTTTTCTTTGCGGGGGAAAAAAGTAAAAACACAATTTCCAAAATTCAACGGTTTTGATATTTGGTTCTATAAATTTTTGGGAAAAATTTGGAATTTTGGGAACCCGGGAAAAAATGCTCCTAAAATTTCTTACATGTCACAGATGTTCTTGCTGACAATGAACTAGGATTTAATTGAAAATTTCGATTAACTTGACATTTGTCAATTAGGCTAGAATTGTTGGTTTCAAACCGAACCGAAAGCTTGAAGATTTTCGGGTTGATTTTGGTTAACCAAAAAATTTTTTGAAACAAAAACACCATAAGTGTGGAGATTTCTGTCATTTTTTGGCTACGAGGCTCTTTTCTGTTATAAAATTTAATGCGTTTTAAGGTTTCGAATGTTTGGAAATCTACCAGATGTAGTTTTAATAATTTCTGATGATCGTCTAGTTAAACTTCTAGAATTATTAAATAGCATTCCTAGACCCGAATTTGATCAAGAAGTTGTTGATTTATCAGCACCAATTGAAGGAACAAAATTGCGTGATCGAGCAAAAATGGTTGCGATTATGGAAGTTAGTGAATTGGATGAAAATATTTTGTTAAAAGACAATGAAGAAGGAGGTGGGGAAGAAAAAAGTTCAACTTCTTCTGAAATGAAGGGAGAGAAGAAGAGTGACTCGGATTCTTCTACTTTACATAGAGAATTACAAATTCAATTTGATATTAATTTAAGTCTTAATGAGGTTTTTAATTTATTTTTTAAAATATTTTGGTCAAATATCTGTTGGAAAAGCCTTGGTTCATAGCCAGGTTTTAATAATAAGCATCTATCATCCTTTTTTGGGTGATAAATTTCTTACTTTTTCAACTAGTCGGTTGACTACAGGGATGTTACGGGTTGAGAAAAAAGTGTTAGGCATTGAAAAAAAATTTTTCGGATCAGCTTCGTGTTGAAAAAAGTCCGAGAGTTTCTAAATTTCTATGGTCGAATTTCGGATACCCCGCCAGATCCCTGTTTGGCTTTGTTTCATGGTCTCAAAAATTTATAAACTCTGATTCATTTATTTTTATTTTAAAGGTTGGTATTGTTGTCAATAAGAGAGACAAAGCATTTTTGAGGTTTATATTACTTTTCCCATTTTAATTTTCTAAAACTTTTCAAGTGCCCATATTTGTCGTCTTGGTTTTCATTTAAGAAAAAGAATGTTTGATATGATTGCTAAAGCCCATTTAGGCTCTTTAACATTAGAAATGCCACAAATCGATTCTTCTGGAAAAGCTCAAACAATTTGTTTAATTGATAATGAAATGAGAGAAGGAGATCATTTGATTGATATGGTTTATAAACAGGTTTTTTTCTAACTTTTTGGACTTGAAAACTTTTTCTTAAGGCAACAGGCGAAAGTCCATCCTTCAAAACTGAATTTAATTCAAATGAACAGTCAATAAATTTTGTTTTTCAAATTTTAAACTTTAATTTATACAAGGTTTCAGTTTTTAAACTTTTTTATTTTTTAAAATTTTTATTTTTTTAGGACGTTTTAAATGACTTAAAAAATTTCAATGATCGTTTACAACGCAAATTGTCTCAAATTAAACCCCCACAAATTGAACAAGCTTCTCCTCAAACTGCTGGTGGTTCAAGACGTAGAACTCCCTCAATAAGTAGTCGTTCTCGTGAAGGCTCTTTAGATAGAAAAACGTCGGGAAAGAAGCGATCACCTTTTATTAAACCTGACGTTAGATTAACAAATAAAAAGAAATTTGTTTTCGATTTTCGAATGCATGAAATTGCTGCAAAACTTTATGCGAGACAAGGGGATATTGCTGTGAGTTTTTTAAATAAATGTTTTTATTAGAGCCTAATTTAGAGGGATTGATAGTATTATATCCCTTACAAATGGCCTATCTTTACCCCTATAATCTTCTGATCCCAGGCCCGATCAAGATCTAATTTAGTGGGATTGGAGGTATTATCTCTTAGAATAGCTTCCCTCATTCAATGATCACCAGTGGTGGGTCGGAATTCCGATTTCCAACACCTTTGACTTTTCCGACCTACATCTGCTGGTGATCACCACAATTTTATACAAGTTATCGTTAATTTAATATTTTATTTGCTATTCAGGGTGGAATTGACCCAACAGAAGATCCCGATGCGATTCTTGAATTTTGTGCACTAAATATTCGAAGCTTTAAATTGAACGGTAGTATGGTAGATGACGGCTCTATGCATGCCGATATCAGCTTACAAGCTTTTACAATGGATGATCGAAGGAAAAATGCAACAATTCATCGTTTAATGGATAAAAAGGACACTGAATCGACTGATCAATTTGTAACAATAAAATATAGTCAAAATAACCATGGAGATAAATTTGGTAGAAAAACTTTTTTTTTAAGTTTCCTCTAATTCCCCACCTATTTTCAGTTGATTTATTGTCTTCAAAATTCTTTTTAATGTTGGCACCAGAATTTTTGGGTGTTCTCTCAACCTTTTTTATTTTGAAACCTGATGAAGATGTTGATGAGAAAACTGGTCCTTCCGAACTTTTTTTAACGCCAAATAGCAGCAGTAACAAATTGGCACTTTCCAAACAATATGTCTCTACTAGTTCAGTAGCTAAACAAGCATTGGCAACTAAAGGTACTCCAGCAGAGCAATCAACTTTTGAACCTCCTGGAACGTTGACTTTAAATTGTAAAGTATATGCAATCGAGGTTTGTAAAAAATTTTTTTGTGATTTTTAAAAAATTTAACTGACAAGGGAACATTTTAAACTGTAGTCTAAAATTTCGCGTTTTTTTGCACTATCGTGTAGAGCAAGGTCGATAACCTATTGTAAATTTTTGGCTTTTTCGGTTTTGACCCACTATTTCGAAAAGTTATGGCGGCTCAAAGTTTCGAATTCTGGAGCGGTCGATTTTCATCCTATCAACAAAAAATTTTTTTTCATTAAAAATTTAATTTTTTAGATTATTTTGATTGAAGATTCACTCAATCCTTCAAATTCGCAAGCTATTATTCTTTCATTTGATGCTTTATTGGATGCTAAAAATGTTTGCTTTTAGAAAATTTTTTTATAAAATTTTTTTAGCTTAATGGTGTTCAACAAATGGATGGTGGAATTCAACATTTTAAAATTTACAGCACTTATTTTGCTAAAGAAAAGAGACATTTAAGTAATTACCAAATTTTAAAAGAGGTTTGAAATTAAAATTTTTTTTTAAATTGTTAATTTAAATACTTGGGGGTTATGTTAGCGTGTTTAAGTTTGTATACCTCTTTTTGTTCCTTTGGGTTTTTGGCCCACATTTCTCCCATTGGTTTGTGGATCTCCATATTTCTTTTTTCAGTACCCTTATTTTTCCTACCTGGAATTTTCGTTTTCCAGGTAGGGAAAAGGCTACGATTACATAAAAATCGCGCGCGATTTGCGACAGTCGCGAGGCGACAAGATGTTGCTTTGTGCTAACATAAAATTAGCGTTTTGCGCTTTTGCAGAAGTCGCCGTTTTATGTAAGCACATAACTAGCGACTGTCGCCGGCGACACGTCGCCTAGCGACTGTCGCGTGTCGCGCGCGATTTTTTTGTAAGCGTAGCATAACGTGGAGATATGGGAATTTAAAGGAAATTTGTGGGCCAATAAAACATTAAAAGGAAAAAATTCAAAAAAATCGTTTAGTAGTTAACCCGGCGTATAAGTCGCGGGGGCAGCGGGGTCCAACCATTTAGCCCCTCCCACATATTTAAACGGTATTTAAAATACAGTCATTCAACCACTATGTCGTCAAGGTTTCAAGGAGTTTCCAAAAGCGTACTTTGATCAAACCGGTTTTGTGTGAACTTTTTAAAGAAAAACAAGCCTTCTCTCTATTTTTCACAATATTACAGATTCCCAAAATTTCAATGGTTCAGAAGTAAATTTAAAACGGTTTGAAAATGAACTTTTAAATATAATTAAAGAAAAACCTTTTCAATCTTTTCTCTTTTCTCTATACCTTTTCTATCCATTTTTAAATTCATTTTTTGAAAAATATAATAATTACTAAAAAGTAGGCGTTGAAAAGTGAAAATAATAAAAATCAGTCATGCAATAACTGCAGCAAAAATAGGTCAAAATATAGGTCATGCAAAAATATTAGTGAAAAAATGAAAATTGATGTTGAAAAGTGAAAATTGGGTAAAATTTATAAAAGTAGGCGTTGAAAAGTGAAAATATATAAAAATCAGTTATGCAATATTTGCAACAAAAATAGGCCAGAAAATAGGTCATGCACGAGAAAAATTGTAAATTATTATTGAAAGTGAAAATTGGGTAAAATTTAGAAACGTAGGCGTTGAAATGATAAAAAGTGAAAATAGATCAAAAATACATCATGTGAAAATTATTTCAAAAAATTATTAAAAGTAGGCGTGGAAAAGTGAAAATAAATAAAAATTGGTCAAATAAAATATATATAAATCAAAGTTTTTAGGATTTTTCCTCATTCTAAAAATAATTTAAAATTTTTGGATTTTTATTCAACTACTGATTATATTCTAAAATGACTCCACCACCTTCAAAACGATCACGCCTTTTCATGATCAACAATCTACTTGAGTTGCAGTCAGGTGGAGGTGATCTTTTTAAACATCTGGGGGAAGAAACCAAGATCACCCAGAAATTTAACCTTACCAAACTGTCTACTAAATTTTTAATATCTGGTTTGCCCGATGAACCAGAGGGATTACTAAAGGAAATTTTTCAAAAATGTATTGATCAGACCCTAGAAACGAGCCACGATCATCAACTTGATCCAGATCAACTTGGTTGTACAATAAGCAGTCAGTTATTGGAAACTGACATCTGGATCCCGATCAGGGACATCAATAACAACACTATAGACGCCATACTTAACCAATTCCTCAAGGTGGCGCAATCCAAGAAGCAAGATAATGGCATGCTATGGGGTGAGCCATTTAATGTTACCGTTACATGCATCGATAAAAAGAATCTTCAAACTACACGGATCATTCAAGGAAGTGGTAAAGCTTCGACGACAATTCAACATAAGATTAAACAACATAACCTTATTAAAATTATTAATTCTGATAACTACTGCTTATTTCGCTCATTAGCTGCTACATACATATTCTCAACATCATCTTGGCCAAAATGGAAATTCTATAACTACATACACAGCAGGTATGGCATGGCAAATCTTCTCGAGAATGATGCTAAAGAATTAATGAATAAAATTGGAGCTCCTTCTGGTCTTCCTACCTATGATGCAATGGAATGGGCGCCCAAAGTTGTTGACTATTGGAATTCTTTGAATAAAGGTGGATTTAAAATTTTTATTTTTGGAGAATTGGGTATAAAACCTATTTTTAAATATGGGCCTAAAAATTATAATACTCCAATTCTTCTTTATTTTATTAATAATCATTTTGATGGAGTTAGAAAGGCAAGTGATTTATTTGGTAAGCCTTATTGCCTTGCCTGTGAAAAAGTTTATCATAGACAAAATGACCACGCTACATCTTGTACTTCAAAGTGTCAAAACTGTTCTAGGATCGGCCCAAACTACCCATGTCAACCATCAGACTTCTTCAATCAATGCTCTGGTTGTGATAAGAAATTCAACAATGAGGACTGTTATAAATACCATTCTACCTCAAACTTTTGCAGCAACTCCAAAAAATGTGAGAAATGCGGAGTAATATGGAGTGTAAAAGACAACAACAGAAACGGACGTACTGGACATGTTTGCTCAGAACGTTACTGCAACACATGTTTCAGCTACCACGACCCTAAAAGAGGTTGCTACATCAAACCTCTAACTCTTAAGAAGTCAAAACCTTACCGGATAATTGCCTTTGACTTTGAAACCATGCAGCACAAACAAGGAGAAAAGGGAAAACTGCATGAAGTCAACTTCATCTCAGTTAAAATTAATTGTCCATGCTGCATTGATAAAGGATTGAACAACGATTGCAAAGTTTGTGAGGAAGATCGAACAATAACCTTTTCTCACCAATCATTCACCAACACTCAAGTGGATCAGCAGAACATTACCAATGATCCTCTGACCGATTTTGTAGCATGGATAACCAATTCTTCTATTGATACAGTAGCCTTCTCTCATTTTGGAGGAAGGTTTGATATGATCCTAGTCTTCAAAGCATTGTATCTTCAAGGACTAACTCCAGAAATGATAAAGAATGGAAATAAAATGTATGAAATGAAGGTGAAAAATGCTAAAAAATGCTGGATAATTTTCCATGATACATATAATCTAATGCCGATGCCTCTGGCATCTCTTGTACCTGCGTTTGGACTTCAAGTAGAAGACAAACCGTTCTTTCCCCACCTAGCCAACAACCCTAAAAATTATAGAAAAGAAATCTTCCCGACTAAAGAAGAATACCTTTGCAATGGGATGATGCCTGAGAAAAGGGTCCAATTTGATAAATGGTATGAACAACATAAAAATGAGTCCTTCAATTTAAATGAATCTTTAGCATCCTATTGTACAAATGATGTTGAAATACTTATGGCCGCACTTGTCGCCTTCAGAAAAGAATTTCTGGAAGTTTCTAATGGACTGGATGTCTTACGGGAGTCCATGACAATTGCTTCAGCCTGTATGAAGCACTTCCGCATGAACCACCTCAAACAACAACATGTTGGAATTGTACCTGAAAAAGGATACGACAACGTGGACAACCAAAGCTTATTGGCACTCCGTTTCCTTAAATGGTATGCTGAGAAAAATAATGTCGAAGTGAGAACAACACACTCAAAGAATGGCGAAAAGAAAATTGGCAATTATAAATTGGATGGGTGGATAAAAGAAAAGAAATTGGCTATTGAAGTCAATGGGTGCTGCTGGCATGGCTGCATCAAATGCTACCCAGACGACAACACTAAACTTCCAACTGGTCTCACAGCTGGACAACAAAGAGAGAAGGACAAACAACGTTTGAATTTCATCAAGAATTTGGGAGTAAATGTTGAGGTCTATTGGGAGTGTGAAATTAGGAAAATGGTTTCAAAAGATTTTGAAATGAGAAGAATGTTTAAAAATTATTTGGATGATGGCCCGATCAACATTAGGTCAGCATTTTATGGTGGGAGAACAGGCCCTTTAAAGCTATTTCATTCTGCACAGCAAGGAGAAAAAATTTCCTACTACGACGTGACTTCTTTGTACCCATTTATCAACGTTTCAACGAGGTACCCTGTTGGACATCCTGAAGTGCACGTCATCAACAAAGATGTCAACTGGACTAAACCTGAGGACAACATCTACAATCTCTCCCTTCTAAAATTATTCATCATCCCTCCACGAAAAATAGATATTCCAGTCCTCCCTATGAAAATTGGGGAGGATGAAGATGAACGACTACTTTTTCCTCTATGCTCTACCTGTGCTAGAGAGCATCCACATGGGGATGTCAATGAAAACTACTGCTGCCCCCATTCAGATCAAAAAAGAGGGTGGGTATCTACATGCACCTCCATTGAATTAAACGAAGCCCTCAAAGAGGGTTATGTGGTCACCAAACTCTTCAGGGTTCTGGAGTTCAAAAACTACGACGACAAACTCTTCAGCCCCTACATCAGTGAATTTATGACCCAGAAAATTCACTCTTCTGGCTTCGACAACTCCATCAAAGGAGACAAATTGAAAGAAGATAAATTTATGGAAGAATGCTTGGAAATGTTTGGGATTAAGATTGAGAGGGAGAAAATGGTGGCCAACAAAGGGAAACGGACACAGGCGAAACTGTGTCTTAACAACTTATGGGGAAGATTTTCCTTAAGAAACTTTGGTCTGTCACAATGCAAGATTACCGACGACCCTAATGAATTGGCTAAGATGTGCGACGACCCTTCTATCACCATCAATTCAATAGACGAACTTACCGAAGAAGTAATACTTATAAACTACATCAAAAAGAAGGATTGGGTGGAGGAGCATGACTCATCAAATGTCATCATCTCGCTCTGGACCACATCAGCAGCGAGGATTCACCTTCTGCATGCCATGCAGAAGGTTGTCAGAACACCAGGTTGTCAGCTTCTCTACACCGACACTGATTCTCTAATCTTCTCACACCCCGACAACAATTGTCCTCTTCAACTTGGGCCTTATCTGGGGCAATTTACAGATGAGTACCCCGATTTCAACATCTTGGAATATTGCTCTGGAGGGGCAAAGCAATATGGTTTGAAACTTCAAAAGAAGACTACTCCCAACAATGAACCTGACTACGTTCTTAAAGTCCGTGGGATGACGCTGAACTGGGATGTGATCAACAACCAAGGATTGTGCTATGAAAACTTCAAGAAGCAAGTTTTTGATTTTATTAATTGTGATAATATACCCCTTTTAATTTCATACCCTAATTTTCTTAGACCATCAATTAAAGATGGGTCCATAATTACTCAGTCTCGTACAAAAATTTATAAGCCTTATGTCGGAAAAGGCATTGTCCGCCCTTCTGATTTTATTGTTCTAAACTTTGGTCATATCAATGACAAACATCCTAGAATTTTGCTTTAATTCTACAAGAGTTGGAAAGTAGCCAGGGGTATGGGCGCCCAAACTCTATACCAACTATCGTAATGTTGTGAGGTAATCCTCGCATGTAAAATCGGTGGTAGTGGACTTGAGTAAATTCTCAAGTCCCTGGTTGAGTTTGGTGATGCCTGTCGAATGGCGAAGCCACACTCTTATCTATTCTTATCTATTTTTTTGTAAATATTTTATTCACAATTTTTGTAAATAATTTTATTCACAATTTTAATACAATATTTGTAACTAATTTTTATTTGTGATAAAAATTTTAAAATACAATTTTGAAAAAATTTATAATTAGGAGTTACAATTTTTAGGGGTAAAATTACATAATTAGTAAAACAAAGATACAATTTTAAAAAGATTAAAAAATTATGAGAATGAAGACATAGCTTTTAGGGGAGATTTTACATAATTAGTGAAACAAAGTAGTAGATTTCAGAATATAATAAATAAAGTTGTTCATTTTAGGGGTAAAATTACATAATTAAGGATTAGAAGATAAACTTTATCAATTTTCATCTTTTTCACTGTGTAAAGGGTGTGCGTGTGTAGAGTGCGCGCGTGTGTTGAGGGTGCGTTCACCAACCATCTTGACTAAAATCTCCTCTGTACATCTCCATCTCTTCTTCAAATTCTTTATCCATAATTATTTCAGGGCTATCTGGTAGTGAAGAGATACTAAGCTTTTCTTCAAATTCAGATGATAAACTTTTATGTTGATCTTCGTCGTCAACAAATTCCAATAGCTCGATTGGATAAAATCGATCTTTATCCCAGTATCGTCGTTCAATAATACAATTTAGGTAAGGATATTTAAGTTGAATTCGATGTCTTGTATAAAAATGTTGAGCGATGCTAACATTATAGGGTCGTCTTAAAGGTCCATAGGCGCGTATTTTATTGGCACCCTTTCTTGTGAGACCTCCGAATAGAAAAGTTTTCTGTTCTAAATCTCTATTCAAATATGTCGTGCGGACCTTACGATCCAAAAATTTTGTTAAGATACGGATTCTTGTCTCAGGAACATTTAGATGGCATCCTAGACTTTTGACTGAACAGTCGAGAAAACGTGCAATTTCGTCAATGACAAGAACCATTGTGAGTGTTTGAAATGAAAAATGAAATTTTTCTGAGTTTATATATCCATCTAAATAGGGCGTGGCTTAATTTTTATTTAGTTGTTGAATTCCAACCTAAAATAAAAATCATTCATGAGTGAAGAAAGTGACGAAATCATAAAGTATGTTAAGGGCGTGCGCGAGTATCGTGAATTTAAAATAAGAACCTATGTGCATTCAATCAATGATGCTCTAAAACAACACATTCAACTTGATATGGGAGCAAGGTTATGCATCCTTATTAATTACTTTCGCGCAGGGAAATGGTGTGATGAATGCCTTAGCTTTGTCGTAAGCCAATTTCAAGATGATATAATGATGCCCAAGGATGAAAAATCCTTTTCATACGCTTTTTATCTTTGTCCAGAATGTGCTGATATTACCAAAAACTATCTCGATAATTTATAATTTTATTCACAATATTTTTTACAAATAAATCTGGGTTATGAACATTGTTTAACATTTTAAGATATTGTGGAAATGTATAACCTTTAGAAAGAAAATAAATAAGAGAAATACAATGGTGGGCACAATAATTAGAAGTTAAGGATTGATATGGTTTTAGGTTTCTATTTACAATTGAAAAATCTTTTAAAAATGAATCAATAATACATATACTTGTGGGTAAATTTAAACTATCAAAATAGACTGCTTGTTCATCTCCTTGTACGTAAATTGTGATCCAGTGTGAACCTGCAAATCCTTTAGGGTCCAAGTTTACAATTAAAGCTTTGCCTTCCACAGGTTTGGGTAGATTGTTACACGGAAAGCATCCCTGGAAGATTTTGTTTGTGTAAGGATTTGAGCTCAATATTTTTGTTATCTGATTGCTGTCCATTATTTTTATAATTTTTTAACCAAAAAATTGAACGAAGTTGATAAATAATTAAGCTTCCTATTAACATAATATATAGTCCTATCATTCCCCAGCAAAACACGTGGCCATACAAGTCCGTAGGGCTTTCTTTACAGAGAGTAGGTAGATTTTCAAACGGGAAGGTTGCAAAGGCTGGTATAGAAGCGGATATTCTTGGCTGGGTTGTATTTCTCTTTGGGAATCCTAATTGACGTAGATAGGCTGAATACTCCGGGATCTCCTCTAATTCATCCATCGCTTCTTTATATAGTCCTACACACGGAGCAAATATCCTAATTAAAAATAAAGTTACTAAAATTCCTTTCATTTATTCAAATGGTGGTGTCACTTGCTATTGTCCGGTTTTTATCTAGCATTATAAGGGAGTCTGCCTCGCCCATAACAACGAGCATGACTCCGCCCTCGGGGACTGACTGACTGAATTTGATGTTTATGGCTGTAGTCCCATTTTTTATTAGATCAAATGTCCCGCTATTATCATCCCCACTATTTGTCAGATTAAAAACATAAATGCAGTGAGTTTTTCCAAACTGTTGGTAAGTGATTCCATTATTTTCAGAGGTATTTGTAAAACCAATAGCCTCATTCATGTCGTGAAAGGCTCTTACATATCTTCCATTCTTATAATCAAAGTCATAAGATGCCTGCGGGTATGGTCGTCCATTTGCTATAATGCTAATTTCTCTAACATTAAAATGTTGAAAGTTGAAAGGGCTTCGATTTATCGATCCAACATAATCGGAGTTTGCAACTAGACCTAATGTAATTCTTCTAGGAATTTGATCCATGAACAAGTTTGCATTAAATTCATATCTACCCTGACTTATGAAAAGCGGTTTCATCATCGTTTTTCTTATTGAATATCTTGCAGGTTTAGTTTCAAGTTTTCTGGCAATATCTAGAGAGAGTCCATCCATAAGATCAATCTTTTTAACGTATAACTTACAGCTTACAACCTCAAAATTATAAGTAATTGGTTGGTCAATCCCAAGTACAGGAGGAGCAATCAATACAAATTTCGTGTCATTAGGTAGTAATTCAATATCGATTTCGCAATGATTTATTAGATAGAGAGGTTGGTTGAATATATCTGCATCAAGTTTCGAAATAAATTGTGCCGTCTTACTAGACGAAAATAAATTTTTTCTTGCATTATAGGCTGTGCCGTCCTCAAGTTTTATGTCCGAATCATAGTAATATCCTGCAGCGTTCAAATGGGAATTTTTTGCCCCTTGAGAGTAAGAAAGCTCGTGTGAAAAATAAGTCTTGTAGGCATAGAGCGAGTTTGAATTAAATATTTCTCTACCATTAACATTAATTCGCATATTATTTATAAATGTTTGACCTATTAGTTGTATAGGTGCAACATTATCAGTTGCAGCGAGTTTGACCAATCTTCCATCATCGCCCTCCTTTTTTATACGAAATTCGGTAAATAAATAAATTTTAGATAGATCGATATAATTTTGACTACTATGAATTTTAAAATGATATGGTGTATCAGTGAGAGGATTACTTGGTAAAATTTCAAAGACCTTGGATGAAGAAATGCTCACATTTGTTGGTGGGACTTGGAAAAAATCAAGAGCATTTGTAATAGAATTAATACTATCTTTATCAATTTTATGGAAACTCATTCTTAATAAAAACCAAAAGCGTCAGATTTTAATCTTTTTCTTTTAATAACTGTTTGATGACTAGGAATTGTCTTTCTTTTTATACCCCTTCCTGATCCAAATTGTTTAGGTAAACCTCCTTTTTCAAGCACTGTATCAATTCCCTTCTTTCCTTCACTGACTAAAGCTTCTTTTATAGGTTCTCCTTGGATTACCCTTCCCAATGCACGTTGACCTGTGTTAAGTGCCTCCTCTGAGACAGTCGTGCCTACACGTCGCATAATCGGTAGAAAAAATCTCCAAAGTCCTCTCATAACATCTCCAATTCCAGCTCCTTTCTGCCCATATCCTCTTTGAAAAGGAGCTGTACCCTTAAAATAGTCATCTGTAATTCCTCCTCCCTTCATTGGAATAAAGTCATCATAGCTTACAGTACTAGTATCAAATAAAATGTGCACCATTTTTAATCACGAATGAAAAAATCAGAAGTTTATCACCTTCTTAAATATCAAGACGATCAGCACTGTACCAAATTCAAATGGTACAGGTCGACCGTTATCCATCGTTCTGAGTTCAATCTCAATCTCATTTACCTCTTTAGGTAATACTCTTGCATAAATTGGTGAATCATATATTTTCTCATAATATTGTCCTGGGGTGGCTCCAGCCACAGAAACAACTCTTAGGAGTGAACTAAGTGAATTGCCTATGATCATACTTTCTGTAAGACCTCTTGAATATACAGCGAAGCTTGAGAAACCTCCTCTTAGATCACAACCATATTTGGCAATTTCATTATTTTGAACCATATTTGGATTTTGAAAGCCTAATACATAACCTAATTGATTTGAAAAAGAAACATATTTGATGCTTGGGTGTGTGAAGGTAACTTTAAATCGTTCAAAGTCGCTATGATAAAATAATTCTATTGAATCTATAATTTGTTTTTGTGTTGTCGAGTCTACCTTGCCTACTTTACCATATTTTCTTACAAGGATGGGCATATTTGGAAGATAATTTATTCTTGTCTGAGGTGTTACTTTCTGTCCAAGATTTGCAAGTACATGTGTAAGCACTCGTTCATATTCTTCAGTCCATAAAGGATCACTAAATGTAGCTTCAGGCTTTGGGAGTTGTGGAAGTGTAGGCGAACTCGGTAGGGATTGTCTTTCAGCTGATGATGAGGGAGATGCATCTCTCAATTCTTCTTCTTCGCTATCTTGTGTCAAAGGTAGAGAGACGGGTAAAGAAGGCTGAGTTGATTTTAGTTGAATGAGTTGCTTTGGAGGTTGTGGTGAGGGTTTTGGAGGTTGTGGTGTGGGTTGAGGTGGGGTGGGTTTTGGAGGTTGAGGTGAGGGTTTTGGAGGTTGTGGTGTGGGTTGAGGTGGGGTGGGTTTTGGAGGTTGAGGTGTAGGTTTTGTGGGTTGTGGAGGTTGCGGTGTGGGTTGAGGTATAGGTTGAGGTGGTGTAGGTTTGGGTTGAGTGGGTTTTGGAGGATGTGGTGGTGGTTGAGGTGTAGGTTTTGGAGTAGGTTTTGGGAGTTGTGGTGTGGGTTGAGGTGGAGTGGGTTTTGGAGGTTGGGGTGAAGGTTTTTGAGGTTGTGGCGGAGGTTTTGGAGGTTGTGGTGTGAGTTGAGGTGGAGCGGGCTTTGGAGGATGTGGTGATGTTTGTGGCGGAGGTTGTGAAGTTGGTTTTTGGGGTTGCGGTGTAGGTTTCGGATGTTGTGGAGAGGGTTTTGGAGGTTCTGGAGTTGGCTTTGGAGGTTGTGGAGTAGGTTGTGGTGCTGGCTTTGGAGGTTGTGAAGTGGGTTTTTGAGGTTGAGCAGAGGGTTTTGGAGGTTGTGGCGTGGGTTGTGGTGTTGGTTTTTGGGGTTGTGGTGTAGGTTTCGGAGGTTGTGGAGAGGGTTTTGGAGGTTGTGGCGTGGGTTGTGGTGTTGGTTTTGGAGGTTGAGAGGTTTGGTGAGGTATAGGTTGTGGAGTGGGTTGTGGTACAGGCTTAGGAGGTTGAGAAGGTTTTGGAGACGGTTTTTGGGGAGCTATTTTATTAAGTTTAGGAGATGTACTACGAGGTGAAGACTCTAGTTCCCTTTCTGCAGAGGATGAAATGGCTGGGCGTCTAAGTTCTCCTTCTTCAGAAGAAGAACGAGAAGCTGCCTTAAGTTCTCTTTCAACAGAAGGTTTTTTATTAGGTGGTTCTTCTTCTTCTTCGGCCGATGATGAACGAGTTGGCATTTTAAGGTCCCCTTCAGGAGATACACTACGTTTAGGTCTGCGGACACTTGGAGGTTTTACTAACGTCTCAGGTTTTTCTAAGGACGATCCTTCTATAGCTCCTGCTTGGTGATCTAAAGTAGATAACAAAAATTGATGTAAATCTTCCACAGTCGTGTGTGAACCTTTAGGAACTGGTACACGAATAATACTAGCCCTCCCATCATTTTTAGTAAAATGAATGTCAATCCATTGTTCGTCAAGGGTACCAATTGTTGAAGGCCATGAATATGGATAACTTATGCTGTGCAAACCACAAACCCAGTCTCCAGAAAAGTATAGAGGTCTTGGTAAATGGACTCGGAATTTATTTGGTCTATTATCTGGATCAGACCTGGGCGAAACTCAAAATTTTTTTCTGACGAAACGAAACGAAACAAAATTTTTTAAAAATCGTTTCGTTAACGAAACGAAACGAAACAACCAAAATCTTACGAAACGAAACGAAACAAAACGAAACATTTTAATATTCAAAAAATTTTCAAAACTGCATTTATTTCGCAATTATTCGACCTCAAATACTTTATTAGTCGCCTATGCCTTATAAATTAGAGCCCGGACGGAGGGCTCGGTCGATATTTTTTTGATAAATACCGAAAAATACCGAATATCGAAAAATATCGAAAAAATCAAAATTTTCTCGGTCGATATTTTTTCGATAATATCGAAAAATATATATCGAAAAATATCGAAAAAATATCGTATCGAGCCGGGCTCTATTATAAATGATTTAGTTATTGGTTTATTTACAACAATTGTGTCCCATAAGCCAGGCCCGTAGCAAGGAAAATTTTCGGGGAAGGGGGGGGGGTCAATCATTTTCGAAGCCGAATTTTTGGCGACGCTTTTTTTCAAATAAGATTGAATATTTTTCAAGTAAAATTTTATTTTAAGCGCCGCAGACGAAAAATTTTAAAATTTTGAAAGGCCGTAGGCCAAAAAATTCACTAGCTTGCTCCATTGCCTACCCAAATTGTCTCCATATCTCCATTTCGAGAGGAAGGCGATATAAGCTAGTGCTTCGCCGGAAGTTCCGGTTCCAGTATTTCCGCAACTCGCAATCCGCAATTTTTAAATTATGATGCGAGTCCGGTAATAGAATTTGTCGTCTATTAAGTAATATGTATATGTGGATTAGGGAGTAGAGTATAAACGGATTTGTAGTATATAAGTAATTGATATCTTCCTTTTTCAGCGCCGCAGGCGAAAATTTTGACAATTTGGGAAGGCCAAGAAGCCGAAATTCTTCTTTTTTCAGCGCCGCAGGCGAAAATTTTTTAAATTTTCAATAAAAGATGGTAAATTTTATAGATTTTGGCCTTAGTTTAGGCTTAAAAAATTGTTTCGTTTCGTTGAAAAATCACAGGTGTTTCGTAACGAAACGAAACGAAACAAATTTAAAAGTGTTTCGTAACGAAACGAGACGAAACAGTAAAAATCATACGAAACATACGAAACAACGAAACGAAACGAAACGTTTCGCCCACGTCTGATCTGGATAATCGGAAACATTACTAGGAAGAAAAACAAAGAAAGTATTTGACATTTTTATCAAATGAAATAATAAACAATTAAATATGCTTTTTATACTAGTTGTGTCTCATGAATCCATTCTCTCTCAGGATAGCCTATAAACTTTACTAAAAGATCGTACGTCCCATCTGGTCTCTTCTTCTTTCTTATAACCTTCTCTATCCTATATTCAGTATCAGCATCCTTACGAACTCGAGCTAATTCCTCTCCATAGAATGATCCTTTGAACTTCTCACCCTTATCATCTTGAACTTTGTATCGAATTGGGTGAACATGCTTTTTAATATTCTCGACTTGAAGTATTTCATCACCCCAGTTTGGAATATAACCCTTCTCGAATACACCTTTTCCTAGACTCATTCGAACAAAATCTCCTTTCTTAAGTTTTGGTTTTGTCTTTTTAGTTGAAAACACATCACCATATATCTTCTCCCAGACATCTTGAGCATTGTCAAAATTAACATCTACAGGCCTCATACCATGTACTCTACTTTTTGCCTTATTTATTCCTACCAAAATTTTAGGGAGGACCTGAATCCAGTCTAAAGTTTTATTTTGGGCAAAATATCGATAAATACGTTGTTTAATATGTCTAATCGCCCTTTCAGCTAGTGAGGCTTTCACTTCTGAGTGAGTTGGTTCCATCTTGTGAATTTCCTCTTTTTGGAAAAAGTCGTTCATTTGAGAATTTTTAAATTCTTTTCCCTTATCTGAAAATATACGGTGTGGTTTCATAGGCATTTGTTTTATTAAATCATTGAACGCTGTAACCATATTTTCTGCAGTTTTTGATTTTGCAGGTACACCAAATATTCTTTTAGATAAAACATCAATTCCTAAAAGTAAATATTTATTTCCTTTGTTGTGTCTTGAGATTGCTTGAAAATCTGCCAAATCTACTTGAACATCTGTCATAAAACCTGCAGGTATAGTCAATGCTCTGTTAAAATGAATACGTTTCGGACGCATCAAAGTATAAGTCCTGTGTCCTTCTAAATAATCTTGGACAACATTTTTAGGTATATGTTTGAGTACTTTTCTAGCCTCCCTCCATAGTCTATCCACACCTGAAAAGGCGGCGGGAGACTCTGGATTATTGTATAAATCTTGTAAAAGTTTAGTATAATCACCCATCTTTACCACAATGAAGGTTTAAATGTTTTATTAATTGCTTCTTTGCGTTTAGCTTTTATAAGCCTTAGCATCCATTCTCTACCTGCTCTTGCTGATTGTTTTTTCGTAACAGGTTTCACCTTTTTCAGAGCAATTAAGGGGCTTTCGTCTGGGCCTTGCCATTTTCGTTTTAACTTTTGACGTCTTCGTACGTCATCTTCTTGTCGAGCCTTTAGCATTGCTGACTGGTCTAGGGGGATTTTTAGTTTTCTTATATCCCTTCTTTTTAATTCCCTTTCTTTTTGTTTCTTCCTAATATTTTCCAGTCGTTGATCATCTTTTATTCTTCTTAATTCTGCTTTTTTCTGCTCCAACTCATCAATTTTCTTCCTTTTACCTTCTTCGATATTAATAGCCTGCGACCGTTTTGTACCTTGGGGATTTGGCGGAGGTGGAACAAATGAGACCTCTTTATAGTATTGCGGAGTGTAAGGTATCTTTTGCTCCCTGATAGCCTTTTTCCTTTCTAGATATTGTCTTTTCTTTTCCTTTTTTCTGTAGTCCTCCCCATCATCAAAGATTTCTTTTTTAATAGGTTTAGTTTCGTAACTTTCATCTATTAAGTGTCTTCTTTTGTCCGTTCCAATCTCTTCGACTCGCTTTCTTTTAGAGGGTTTGTAATAGGTAGGAATAGTTGGTTTTTTAGTTTTAGGTTTCAGTGTAATTGTTGGTTTAATATCAGGTAGGATAGGTGGTATAATATTATAAGATGGTGTTTCTTTTGGATATGAACTAAATGACATATCTTCACTCATCCATAGATTATCGTCGTCTTCCCCAATATTTGAAGCTGGAAGAGAAGCGGTAGTATTCATAATTGCACCTTTTGGACTTGCAACCATCTCTACCTTAACGGGTCTATTTTGCTGTTCGTTTCGTAATTGTAAATATCGTCTAAGCTCTTGATTATAATGCACATTTTTTGCACTAGGTGTTTCTCTTTTCAATTTTGTTTTCTCAAGACCTTGACGTACAAAATCCAAGTTTGGTTCACCTGTATCATAGGTTGTTAAACCTTTGTAAATTTCTTCTGGAACTAAAATAAATTTATTTGCCATAATTAATTTTATATTAAGATGTTGCAGGTGCTTTTATAGTCATCATCCTTGCCATTTCGATGAGCACAGGTGTCAAAAGAGCTGCAAAAACTCCTACTCCGTCACCTTTTTGATTAATAACATGTCTGGCGCCGCGTTCACTTCTAACTCTACTCAAACTTCGCACAAATTCGGCATGAGGTAATAATCTTTTCTTTTGACGTGTTGTAAGTTTGAACCTCTTTTTAACTATATTCAAACATATTTCAGCTAAAGCTAAAAGTTGTTCATTATTTGACAATTTTAAAAGCCTTTTCCTTTTTCTTTTAGATTTAGTCTTTGACAATAAATGTAAAAATTTTAAGTTTTCATGGATTAATTGATTAACCATTTCCGTTTATAGGAATAAAAATTATCTTTTCATCGTCTTCCTTAAATATGTTGGTCCTAAGACGGAGTGCAGGATCAGAAGAAGCATGCATATCGACGAGTAAGTAACCAAAAGGTTGTTTGGTTGCCTGTCGATAGGAATCGAGAAAATAGTCCAATTGTTTGGGAAATAATTGTACACCTATGTTTCTGATAGATAGCATCGAATTTGGTGATCTCATCAACACAAGATATTGAGAATTTTGTCGTGCTACTTTAATCTTTTTATCGAATAAATTTTGTGTGACAAAAATTACAGAAAAATTTTGATGGTGTGATTTTTTGGTAAATAATTCGGATAAATATTTTTCGTCAACAGAAAGAATTAGATCATCGAGAATTAGTAATAGTGGCTTGGGATATTTTTTAATCAAATCCTCAGGTGGAACTCCTGCAAATACATCAACTCCAGATTTTTGCAAAAGAGGTACAATATTGTTCATCTCACCAAAGCAATAAAGTATGGACTTTGGTTTAGGTTCAATTAAGTCTGAAGCTTCTGAAATAAATTTTAGTAATAGTGTACTCTTTCCACTTGAACTAGGACCAGATATAATCATTCCAAAAGGTAATTTAAATTTTAAATCTTTATTCGAGAAAGCTAAGGAATTCATGATGAAAATTTATGAATATAAGAAAATTTCACTTAAATATCATTTTATTCGGTTGGTATTCCTGTAACCGATGCATCTAAACTTTGAAAGAAATCATCCAACTCCTCTTTTGAAGGAAGTGTATCCAAGGGTTGAGGTGTCTGTGTCACTTCTTCAGGAATTGTGGGGGGACTTTGTAGTTTTTCAGTTTTGGGACAAGGAATCTCTGTAGAAGCATTGTAGGGCACATTAAAAACTCGACCTTTGTTTTTTACTTTGAAGAAGCAATGCCTTGGTAAATCATATAATAAATCAAAAGGAACAAATCGGCTTCCCTCAAACCGGGTGCAATAGACTACCACTCCCTCCTTTACTATTATAAAATCTAGTTCAACTTCGGTGCTCTTACACTTACGGCACTTTCCACCTTGGTCATAAGGAAGAAAACGTGGAGTTGTATAACGGACACTGGAAATTGTAATTCCAGTAGATGAAATGTTAAATTCAACCTCTGGTAATATTTTTGGGAACTTCATCTTTTAATTAATTTATCAGTCTTATGTCTCCGTTTATACTAACTTAGAAATATTAGATGTGAAGTAAAATAAATTTCTCTATGTAAAACTGAACAAGTATGGTATAAACCACCACTTTGAATATATTAGATAATTAAAACTGTTAGAGTAATTTAATACATGAGGGGATGTTGCAATAGTTATATTTTGGTTGAAGTCTAGTTGTAAACTATCGTTGTATCTCTTTATACCATAGCGGCGAAATGGTGTTAACCTATAAAATTCAAAGTCTTCTGCATTCGCTCTAGATGCTTTTAATAAGTGTATTGGACACTGACACCTACCTGGTATAGGTCCCGTAATGTTAAAAGGTAGATTCAATAAGTATTTTGGGCATCTACAGGGTTCCTGTTTCCACATATCCTGCCATCTGGGATCATCTACTAGAGATAAGTTTGAAGAGGAAGAAAGGGGAAATAATAAAAATAAGATAAACATTTTGATTAAAGATTGTGGAAAATTGAGGTCTTTTATACCAATTCCATTCAAGATCTCCTGAGAATGATACGACTCAGCTCGTCGAGCCTGTCAGAAAAAGTATCTATATGCCTATACTTGGAACAATTTCATGTTCCAAAGTCTACAACTCGAGTTTTAAGCTCGATTTTAGGTTGAAATCACTTTGGTACGATTTATCTCATCGAACTGATCAAAATGTCAAAAATGACATATGTCAAATGACATATGTCAAAATGTCAATTGGCACATTTCTGGATGTCAATTTACCCACGAAGATGTGTGAGCCTAGGGAATATTTTGGCGAAGCGTTTTTTCAATTATTTTAAAAAAGTACCACTTGAACCGGTTCTAAACCATCCTTGAACCTTTGGGGACCTTAATAATATTGTAAAAAATATAGGAAATGCTTTTTTACTTATTTAAAATTTTTACCCTTAAACCGGTTTGATCAAAATATTCCAAACCGTTTAAACCTTTGGGAAACCCTTAGACCTTTAGTATATTTTTAACCAACATTGGGGGAGGGTTTAACTACTTTTATTTTTATTTTTTATAAAATTCACCCTTTTTCCCTTTTTTAACAATAATTTTGCAATTTTATTTGCAAATGACTGATTTTAGGTAATTATTTCTATTTTTGCAAATTTTTCCAAAAATAATTATTGCATGACTGATTTTTCATAATTATTTGTTCACTGCCTACTTTTTAATAATTTTTATATTTTTCAACAACTAAGGGTAAAAAAGAGAAAATGAATAGAAAATAGAGGAAGAGGTGAAACTTTAAAAGAAAAAGTTTTTAGAACAGTTTAAAGTGAAAAATATGGGAAATCTTGGTTTGAACCGGTCAAACCGTTTTAAATTTACTTCTGGACCATTGAATTTTTGGGAACCATTTGATTATGAAATTTTGTGAAGATCGTGGGGATTGGTTTGGTAATGTGTTTTTGTAAATATTTTTAAAAGTTCACACCAAACCGGTTTGATCAAAGTACGCTTTTGGAAACTCCTTGAAACCTTGACGACATAGTGGTTGAATGACTGTATTTTAAATACCGTTTAAATATGTGGGAGGGGCTAAATGGTTGGACCCCGCTGCCCCCGCGACTTATACGCCGGGTTAACTACTTCGTTTCTTGGTAGAAAAAGCTCAAATCTTTTTTTTCATATATTTTTCCTAAAAATTTATTAAAATAATTTCATTTTAGATGGATATTAAATTTACCGGTTCAATAGACGATCAAGAACATACACAAAACTTTTCTGTAAAAATTGACCAAGTCACTTTGCGTGTTAGTCCTTCAATTATTCGTTTATTAAGTGCTGTGAGTGCTCAATTTTCAGAGCATCAACGAAAGGTATTGAGGAAATCTTCCAAATTTTTTTAAAAATTTTTTTTAAAAGGATCAAGAAGCAAAATCAGCCCGAGCAATTTTAAGAGAATATCAAGACTATTGGAAACCTCGAGTAATTGAGAACGATAAATATTGGTGGTTCCAATTGGGAAATGATTCTGTTGTTGAAGAAACGGCTGAAGAAGTTGCGGAAACTACGCAAATTGTTATTAATCAAAAGGTTTTGGTTTTAAGCTTCAAAAATTTTTTAAAAATTTTTTAAAGGCTGATTTCACTATTAAACAATTTATTGTGACTGTTGAAGCTGGAATGAAAGATTTTACTCGTCCAATGATTTTATTGGAGAGTGCAATGCTTGGATCAGCTAAAAATTGGTCGACTCAATTAATTGCGGTTTTTTAATTTTTTGAAAAAAATTTAAAAAATAAATTTTAAAGGAGGCAGAAGCTAGACTTCAAATTTCATATTATAATGAGGCTTTTAACGTTTGGGAGCCGTTAATTGAACCGGTATTACATCAATATGAAGGATGGCAGAGTTGGAGACTTACATTAAAGGTTTTCTTTTTGGTTGAAAAAATTTTTTTTGAAATTTTTGAATTGAGAAAAGTTTTTTTTTTAAAGATAAGTTCACAATTAGAAGAAGACACAAATTCACAACAACAACGTCAAGGAACGTCAAAATCTATCAAAGACAAAATTAACCAGAAAAAAGCTGTTCTTCCTCCTAAAATGGCTTTAATTTTTGAAGCTAGAGAAATGATGAATATTACTGTGAGTATCGAGATTTTGTGGTTTTATTGAAAAAAATTTTTTTAAAGGTTTCAAAATCTTTTCTGTTGTTAGTCAATCAATTATCTGAAGTAAATTTTATTTGAAAATATTAAAAAAGTAAACTAAAAATTTTAGTCTTTCGAAAAAGCAGCAAAACAAATTAGTCCACCAAAAAGTCGTCATTTACCTGGTTCTTCAAGTTATATGTTACTTAATGAAACTGGACTTGAAATAAAAATATGTAATACGTCTACTTTGAAGGTTTGAAATTTTATTTAAATGCTAGAGGTTGACTCTATAATATGTATGCTCCGAGAATTAAATACTCCTCACACCAGCCTATATAACTTAGGTTTTCTTGGATCCATGTCGGATGTTTGGTGTCAAAGGTTTTATGCATTTTTAGTTGTGGGAAGGACACGGATCACTTACATTAACACGGGTGTCGTATAGGAGGGTTCTCTTGACAGATCGTAACACTTGACATTTGCTAATAGGGTTGTACCCCAGTCTCCGTCTCCGAAAGTCGGGGAATTTGAGAGTTTTTTTTTGAAAATGTGTAAGTGATACCCCACCCACTTTAAGGTATATCCAATATGATTTTTAAACTGGCATGAGGTGTTATCTTATATTTAAACTTTATTAAAGGCTAGTCAAAAACAAACAGATTTGGAATGCAATAGAGGCGAATATATCCCATTAGAATTAATTGAAAATGATAATAATAATGGAAGTGAAAAACAATTAAGTGCTGGTAATTGGCAAATGAAAGAAGATCAAAGACACGTAGAATTACAATTAAAAATAGAGGAACCAAAAACTGAAAGAATTGTGAATATTTTGAGAGCTGAAATGCAATGTATTGATTTACCTAAAGAAGCTGATTCAGGTAAATATTTAAAATTTTTAGTTATTTTTTATGTTTCAAATGGTATTTTCTGTCGTAATACCAAACGCCGAAATACCAAACTCCCAAAAGTCACACCGAAATACCAAAATTTGGATTCATCGGATATTTTTTCCAAAACCTCCTCACATCGGATACTTTCTCAGAAACCTTGAACATTTTTCGAGAGCTTTTTATTTTGGCGTTTGGTATTACGGCGCGCTCCCTGTTTCAAATCTCTATTTGGTATGTTTTAAAATTAGAATTCGCATGCTGTTGTACCTTTTGTTGCTGGTGTATTAGAGGTATATAGAAAATAAAAGAAAATGATTGATCAAATATGCAATAATTATTCTAGAATATAATTCAAATTTCATGAACTGGGTGTGGCATTTGAAGCCCCTCATTATAATTTTAAGCTCTTATATTTCTCCCTGGGGAGCATGCCAGTCTACCTCACATCAGATATTTTTTACAGAAATTGATAAATTTTTTTCTTTTAAGGTAGAAAATGGGCTTTGGTTGTTGATACACAACTTGAAGATTCTCGACATTTAGTTGTTTTGCGTTCTCCAGTCAATGTTTCTTAAACTTTTTTCTTTTATTTTTAAAATTTTTAAAGGTTATTAATCGAATGGATATGTCTGTTGAATTTCAATCACACAAAGATTTGGAAACTACTTTTTGTGGTGTTTCTGCTATTGATAGTCGTCCTTTAAATATTCCATTGCCTCAACTTTATACTCCGGACGGGGAATTTTCTATTCGTCCGGAGGGAGGAATTTATGACTGGAGTGACCTGTAAATTTTTTTGGAAAAAAATTTTTTTTGAAATTTTTTTTAATTTTTTGGAATTTTTTTTTTGAAATTTTTTTGAATGTTTTTTTGAAAAATTTTTTTCGAAAATTTTTTTCGGAAAAAAATTTAATTAAAAATCTGAAAAAAATTTTTTTTTAGATTTTCTTGGCATGATTTTGACAATGTAAAACGCAAAACTGTTCGTTGTGGTAAAAAGGGTGTTGAACATGAAGCTATTTTTATTGAAATGGGTAATTTATTTATTCTTTTTTTTTTTAATTTTTTAATTAATTTTTAAAGTTGTTACCGAAGAAAAAATTCGACGTGGGGCAAAATCTTTAGAATATTCAATTTATACAATTAATTTATTTCCACCTATACATTTTGTTAATTTGTTGCCTTTGTGCTTGGAAATTGTTGAACCTGTAAAAAAAATTTATTTTGTTAAAAATGTTGAAAAAAATTTTTAGATTCGACGTGAAGTAACTAGTGGAGAAGGAGTTGATTTGTACAATTTAATTGCTGGGATGCCTTTTGTTTTGAAGGTTTTATTTTTAAATAATTTTAAAATTCTGTTTGATTTTTACTTTTTTTAAAAAATTTTTTGGGGCAATTATTTGTTTTTATTAATAAGAAAAGCAATTTTAACCTATTTCTTGGGTAAAAATGATCGAATGATCTCTCTCTACTTTATTTTATACTATGAATTATAAGGTTTGGGATAAAATAAGGAGAATGGATAGGGTTGATTTGATCCTTTTGACTTACGAGAGGTCGAGTGAGATTAGATTAGATAATTTTATTTAAATAACACAAATATAATAAAAGACTTGAAAGGAATCAGAATTTTTTTATTTTTTCTTTTTTATCTTTTATACCCTTGCATTCTTTATCAAAAAAAATTTTTTTTCTCAAATTTCTCGATTTTCTCTATTAATTAAATTCATTTTAAGCTTGAAAATGGAGGTGAAATTTATAAAATGAAAATGACTATTCCAGAAGTTGGACAAAGAAATGATTTGACCGTTATTAAACTTTTAAGTGAAACATCAAATAAAGAATTGGTTTTTATTTTTTAATTTTATTTTTCAATTATTTATTTTTTGTAGTGTCTTGGATTAAATTGGAGTATTGAATTTCTTCGAACAACACTTTCTCTTTTTACTCCTTACTGGATGGTTAATGATACTGGAAAGGAGTTAATTTATCAGGTTTTTTTTGTTAAATTTTTATTAAATTTGTTTGAAAAATTGATTGAGTTGGGTTTCTTATACTCTAAAAATGTGTGTGTTGATTTTTGGTGATTTGTATTTTTCTGATTTTTTAATAGTCTGATCGTTTTTTGGAAAACAAGGTTTGTCACAGACTTCCACTAAAAATAAAATTTTTCGTTTTATCATTAAATTTTAATGAAATTCTAAAAAAGTGTTTCGACTAGAAATCAGTCTGGTCCTGGACCAAGGCCTGGGTTTTTCCTGTACCCATTTTCTAGGCCCAGGCATTTTTTCCCTTTCTGGGTTTTTCCTGGACTACTGGCCCTGGATCCGGCCCAGGTCAATAAATCAAACCCTTAGTTCAGGAACAGGCCCAGGCTTTTCAAAAATACCTATCTCTAGTTTCGATTAGGAAATAAATTTTTGGAAGAAGTTAAACTGATATTGATTTGTGACAGACTTTGTTTCAAAACAAAGCAGAGTGCTTTTATTTGAGTTTAAAATAGCCAGAAATTTTTTTTCAACTTTAAATTAAAAAAACCTTTCTAAAAATCTCTCTCCTTTAGGGACCTATCGAAAAGTCAATTCAAACAACTCCACAAGCACATCATCTACGTGCAAGTATATTTGGGCAGTGTTGTACTTCTATACTTCCAAAATCATTTACAGAGGGAGAAAAGGTTTTCTTTTTCTTTTCGAAAAAAATTTCTGGCTATTTTAAATTTAAATAAAAAAATTTTAAAATGAATTTTTGGCCCTTCCTGCTATCTCGCCGTGTTTTTTTTTAAATTCGTTCCTTTTTTATTTTTCTTCTAAAAATTATAAATGGTCAAAGTTAAAACTAGAGTAGGTTAAGGCCTCGCCGAGGCCGAGGTCCTCGCCCATTTTCAAACCTCGATTTTGCTGGTCTTAGTCCTCGCCAAGAACCTCGGTCTCGGTCCTTGCCAAAAACCTCGCCGAGGACCATGCCCCCTAAAGATTGATTTTTTGCAGAAATAGAAGAATTTTGGCCTATTCTCCTTCAAAAATTCCCAAAATATCACTAACCATTATGCACCTTTGACCATTCATAATTTTTAACAGAATAAATAAAGAAATTAAGAATAGGAAATATGGGTAAAAATTTGGTAATCATTATCTTTTTCCCTTTTTCAGCAAGCAAAACATTCAGAAATTAAACATTTACCAAATCAAAACCCAATAATTTTGCCACTAAATGAAGAAGATTTTTATGAAAAAAAGAAGGCAAAATTGAGAATTTCTGATTCTGAATGGTCTGCAGAATTTCCTTTAGATTCTGCTGGAAGTAGTGGAAGAATAACTTGTCATTCTGAAAAGAAAGATTTTGAGGTTTTTTTTTAATTTAAATTTTATTTTTTAATGAATTATAGTCTAACTATAAGATTGTTTTTGACCCTTTTTTTTAAATTTCTGACCCCCTTTATCTGTATAGAATTCGATTTTTTTTCCAAAATTCTTGCGATTTACCGATAATTTGGAACATCAATATATATCCGTTTTTCTAATGTCTCTTTAAAATAAAATATTTATATGAATTTTTGAGTTCTAAAATTTCCCTTTGAAATAAAGATTTAATATAAAAAAAATTTTTTTAATTTTCTAGTTAACTGTTGATGTCAAATTATGCCAATCTGGATTAACTAAAGTAGTTACAATATCCCCATTTTATCTACTTCAAAATGACAGTAAATATTGTATTGAAGTTAGAGAACCTAATAGAAATGAATGGATTGTTATGCCACAAACTTCTGTAAAAAATTTTTTTTTATAATTTTTAAAAGATTGAAGGCCTTTTTTGGTTGGAAATAGAGATCGAGCTGGGTCTGGACCAAGGCCTGGGTTTTTCCTGTACCCAGAGTTTAGGCCCAGGCATTTTTGGACCTTCCTGGGTTTTTCTTATGATCCGGCCAAGGTCGATAATTTAAATCCAGAGTCCAGGCAATTTTTATGCCTGGTTTTCCTGGGTCAATTTTCTCCCAGATTTAACTTGAATGTAAGAGGGAAGAGGGGTTCTTTTAGAATTTGATAAAAAATTTTGATAATTTAATAGAATCTGGAATAGTTATTAATTGGGGAAGTAAATTAAATTTAAGAAATTTCTTTATTAAATTAAATGTTAATTTTAAAAGGTTATTGGTTTTTGGCCTGAACAAAAAGAAAAGCGAAAAACATTAATTGCACGTTTTCCAAAAACTAAAGAAGAATCTATTCAATTTCCGTTTACAGAAAATTTTGAAGGTTTTGCGAGAGTTAAAAATTCTGTAGGTTTTTTTAATGTTTTTTTCTTCTCAAAGGCTTCTTCCCCAGAGTCTAAAAAACCTTAGGGGTGTAAAAAAAGTTCCGGTTTGGCCTCAACCGATTTATAAACCGGATCCCAGTGAGTTCCGGTTCCCGGAACCGCGACCAAAATAACAAGGAACTTTCTGGAACCGGAACCGAAACTTCCGGTGAAACTCTACTAGATACATCCCCATTTGAGGGATGTTCTTAATGCCTCTAAGCGATAACCTCTATTTAAGAAACACCTCATAACGAAAAAACCTCATTTTCAGTTCCAAACGGGTGTCTTATAATAGTGAGGGTTGACTTTATTTTAAATAAATTTATATATTTTTCAAGTTTATTGGTTTTTACATAATTGTTTCGCTTTCTGATGATTCTTCAGTTATTAATATTGAGCAATTTATGCCTGGAATGGTACCTGCTATTTTAATGAATGCAACAAAATTTTCAATAAAATATTGGCAAGCAGAGGTTGAAGAGGAAAAAACTTTGGAACCTGGACAAGTTATCCCATTTTCTTGGGATTGTTTAATTACTAAAGAAGGTTGGAAGGAATTTTTTTAAAGGAGGGGGAAATTTGCTTGTTATAATTATTTGGGGTCGGATCCTCTTATTTTTCTAAAATTAATTTTGAGTTGTTCTTTCTAATAATTGTCATTTATGTCTATGTACTAGCTTAAGAGTTTAACATAAGTTTTAGCAAATGGCGAAAACCGGACAGCAATACAGTCGAGATTTGTTGTATATTCCTGCTATCATGGGGGATAAAATCAGTTGGATTTTTCTTATTTTACTTAGCCTCAGGACATTTTTATGATTAGAGCTCTTTATAATATTCTATACTTTTAATAGCTCGTCTTTTTGAATGGAAATCTGGAGATCATTCTGGTTCTGATGAATTGCTTCATAATCGAGATTCTTCCTATCTTCCTTCAAGAAATGCTGGTTATCATTTTTGTGTTTCTTTTCTTAATGGAAGACAACGTGTTGTTTTGGTAATGTTTTTCTTTTTTTCTTTTTAACAATTTGGAAATATTTATCTTATACTTATTTAATTTTTACAATCCATGACTTATCCTAGTCATTTTCATTTTTTCTTTTGGTTATATTCTCAGCTTTGACTTACAGAACTGTCACGGGTAGAGAAATGGTCGGATAGGATTTCGGGTCGAAAAATTGTCTGGGGTTTGGTTATGGGATATATAGGGTATTCCGTGACATTCCTGATTTAGAAACAGAATTGTTTCGAAGCAAAATATCTTTAAAAATCGGAAATCGAAATTTTGAAATTTTTATGATCCAGACCTTTCTAAGGAATGTAAGGATATCGATAGTTTTAATTTTTTGAATATTTCTCTAGTTTACAAGTGATGCAAGTATTTCAATGTTAGCACATGAACCTTTTGAATTTGAACAACCAAATATGCACGTTGAATTTCGTTTACATGGAGTTGGGATTTCTTTAGTAAATAATCATAAATGTATTGAAGTACTTTATATGGTGGGAATTTTTGGAAAATTTCAGAAATTTTTGAAAATTTCCCTTTAGGCTATATTACCAGGTCAAGGTCAGAGGGACGGTTTTTGGATGCAATATCGTCAAACAGACCATCAAACAACTCTTTGGGTTAAATTACACAATTTTCAAATTGATAATCAACTTCCATCTTCTATTTTTCCTTGTATGTTAGCTATGGTTCCGCAGCCTAAAAGTGTTGTTAAAGATGGTTAGGCTTTGCGAAAGATTAAAAATTTTTTTTAAATTTAAGCCCCAAAACCCTTTTTGGAATGTTCTTTTGTCATGAACCAATCAGAACATTCAAATATCGTCCAAATCAAATTACTCGAAGCTTTAGTACAAGAATTTTCTGTTCGAATGGATCAATCACTTATTAATGAAATCCTTGATATGTTCCCTAAAGAAAGTATTGAGACTGATTATAATGTAAATTATTTTTTTTATTTAATCAAAGTCGATTCTCTCATTTTTAGATACCTTTAGAATTAGGAGGTACACCCTTTTTTGATTCAAGATTAAAAAAGATTTTAAGTTTCCTTGGACATTTAAGGGAACTATCTGAGCGATACCCTCTATTTAAGATCACCCCATTATAAGGTACGATTTTTGTAACACCAAGGAGATTCCAAAAAAGATTTGCGATATATACTACTCTGTGCCAAGTATATGATATTGGGAGCTAGCTCTGGAACTTATCTTCGAGGCCGGAGTTAAGAATCTAGTTAAAATGAATCTAGTTAAAACAAAAAAAAGCTACAAAATGCCCAATACCCATCACTAGTATCATAGTTTTTTAAATATTTTTTTATTTTAAGAAGGAAGCATTTTCTAAAGATTTGGAATTAACTAAAGGAAATTTAAATAAAAGAGCTTTACAAACAAGAATATCGCAAGCAAAAGCTTATTATGAACGTTTACATATTTCTCCATTAATGGTATGGAACTAGAAAAAAATTTTTTATTTAATTTTCTACACAGATTCATCTAAGTTTTTCACAAGGACATGTTAAAGAAGGTGATAAGGATGCTGCTGGTATTCAATGGGAATTTTTAAATTTAATGTTAAAAAGTGTTGGTGTAACATTAACAGAAATTCAAGATGTTACTTTTAAGTAAATTTAAAAAAATTTTTGAATAGAAAATTCTTTTAAAGATTAGCATTTTTCCACCGTGAAGCAGCTTTTTATAGCCGTACACAATTACAAGCAGAAATTCAATCTCATTATATTAAACAATTTATTAAACAAGCTTATGTTTTGATTTTGGGTGAGCATAATTTTTTGTGTTTTAAAATTTCCATTTTCAAAAAATTATTTCTAAGAATCTGAACTTAAATTACGGATACACTCTAATGTACCGCTGTGCGATAACTTCGTTCAAAGTGCTCGGATCCGGGACGCCCTAGTATGGTTCAATTCAACTCTCCAAAACGCATCGAACCATACCCCAATGCGTCTTGGATTCGACCACTTTTAATCAAGTATAGCTTTGGAGTACATTGGTCTGCTTCCTAAATTACCACCTTCTCTCAATAGGAAACAGTGTTTTAAAGGGAATGATTTATAGATAGCTTTTTGAGATATGGGAGCCTGATTTGAATGTGGTATTAACTTTTTTAGGATGCCAATCTTTAATTGTGTGTGATCCTCAAGTTTGTTTTCTCTCTTCCAACAAATTAACTCATGTTTTTGATCTTAAAGGGATAAATTATTTAACTAACGAAAAATTACAAAAAAAATTTTTTTTTAACTTTTAATTTTTTAAAGGATTGGATATAATTGGAAATCCTTTTGGATTAATTCGTGATTTAACTGCTGGTGTTCAAGACTTTTTCTATCAACCTATACAAGGGGCCGTTACCGGGCCTTTAGAATTTGTTGAGGGAATGACTTTGGGTGTTAATAGTCTTTTTAGGTGAAAAATAGATTTTTAAAAATTTTTTTTTGAAAATTTTCAAATTGAAGTCACTCTGTTGGAGGCGTTTTAGGGGCAGCTTCACGAATTACTGGAACTTTAGGAAAAGGAGTCGCTGCCTTAACTATGGATGAAGAATATCAACGTAAACGTTTACAAGCTAGACAACAACCTACAAATTTCGGTGAAGGAATGTTTAGAGGTGTTAGGGGTGTTGGACAGGGAGTAATTGATGGTGTTACTGGTAAGTTTTTGGGGGAGGAAAAATTTAAAAAAAATAAATAAAATTTTTTAGGAGTAATTTCTAAACCTGTTGAAGGGGCAAAGAAAGGAGGCGTTTCTGGTTTTTTAAAAGGAACGGGCAAAGGATTAATTGGTGTTGTTACAAGACCTGTTTCTGGAGTTGTAGATTTGGCTACATCAATGGCTGATTCTGTTAAGACGTAAAAAATATTTTTTTTGTTAGAGAATGTTTTTCCGGAAAATTGTTATTGAGCGTATTCCTCATTAAATTATTTTATTATTTTTACGGAAATATATTGTTGATTTTTGGCAAAAAATTTTAAATTTTTTGGGTTTAAAACTGGTCGTGAACACCCCTAATTTTTATTAAAAATATTTTTATCTTTCTTCAGAGTTGTTACAAATGCAGAAGAAATTAGACCAATACGGCCCCCTCGAGTTATTACAAATGATAAAATTGTCCGTCCATTTGTTTATGCAGAAGCTATTGGATATAAAATATTTAAAGTAAAAAAAGAATATTTTTTAAAGAAATATTTTAATTTACAGGAAATTAACAAAGGTGATTTTGCCGAAACAGATTGTTATTTAGCTGATGGGTCAATTTCTAAACATTTGGTTATTGTTGTTACTGACAAGTGAGAAGAGTTTTTTTAAATAATTTTTAACAAGTATTTTCCGGAAATGTTTTAAGTATTATAGATTATTTTTCCGGAAACGTTGTAAGGTTATTTTCCGGAAAGAATTATACATTGTTTCATTCGATATATTCCGGAAAAGTTGCAAGGTTTTTTTCCATAATTTATTTTCCGGAAGTATTTCAGAGAAAATATTTATTTTCCGGAAAGTTTAAAAATTATTTTTATTTATTCTACAAGGTTTACATTAAAATACAAATTTTTTAGACGCGTAATTGAAGCAAGACAACACGAATTAACTGGGAATTGGAATGCTGATTGGAGCCCAACTTATTCTGAGATGAATAAACCTGAATGGTTTATTGATGAAACTAATGGTCTTAAATATGGTGTTTAAAATTTAAAAATTTATTTAAAATAAAAAATATTTAAAGGTGTCAAAATTTCATTAAAAGAAGCTAAACGTGGAACTTTCTCTTTATTGGGACGTCCAAAAACAAAGGGAAAATTAATTCTTTTCCAAACGGAAGAAATTGCAAAACGTGTATTTGATAGAATGTTGAGTGCTTGGGAAAATTCAGCATAAAAATACAAAATTTATTTTTTTATATTTATATGAAATACACATAGCTTTTGATTTTAATTTCTGAGTTATTTTTCCGGAAGACAATGTACATATTATTATTATTTTTCCGGAAAGTTATTTTCCGGAAGATTTTAATAAAAATTTCCGGAAATATTTACCAATATATTCATGCATTATATTTTCCGGAAGAGTTATATAAATTATTTCCGGAAAGTATTTATTCTATTCCGAAAATATTTAGCAATATATTCATGCATTATATTTTCCGGAAGAGTTATATAAATTATTTCCGGAAAGTTTTATTTTATTCCGGAAATATTTAGCAATATATTCATACCTTATATTTTCCGGAAGAGTTATATAAATTATTTCCGGAAAGTTTTATTTTATTCCGGAAATATTTAGCAATATATTCATACCTTATATCCGGAAAAATTTCTCCATTTATTCCGGAATTGTATTGTCTTCTTCTCCCTTGCCTTCTTTACCCATATATACCTATGTAATTTTACCTATCTCTAATCATGACTTTCGCATCGAAACAAGTGCTTCTTTAACAAATATATAATTTAAATAGAATTAATCTATTCACCTCACTTTTTTGTATCCCCGTAAATTCTTTCAATTTTAGATATTTTATTAAAGTAAATAAAAATAAAAGGATTTAAATAGCATCTAGTTAATCCTAAGATTTTTCTCTCAAAAATACACCAAAAACAAACAAAAAATATATTTTTCTCTTTAAAAAAATAAAAACGTCATCATCAACTTTTATGGGGACATATTACAAAAATGGAAAATTACATATAAAATAAACATTTTTTTCTAAAAAAATAATTTTTTTTTGTTTTCCTTTTCTTTGTTGCCACATTTGGCATTTACAATTTTTTAGTATAATATTTTCTTTTTTGTTTGGTTTCCCATCAGAAAAAGCCAGTTTCCTGAAGTTTTTGCACAAAGAAACGGAAATCTGCTGCCTCATTTGGAGTAAATCCCTTTAAAAGAGAATAAAAGAATATTTTATTTTTTTTCTATTTTTAGAGTTTAAATAATTAAAAAAGAATATTTTTTTAATTAAAAAAATAATTTTCTCCCTTACAGAATTTTCATCACTAGAAGCAATAGCTTGTAGCACAGAAGCCATCCTTCCTAATTCTGTAGGGCTCATTTTCATTTCAACTCCGAATGCTTCTAATGTTGGAGATTCTAAAATTATTTTTAAAATTAATTTTTGAATTTAAATTTTAAATTAAGTAAATTAAATTCGGAATTGTTAGATCACCTTTGATCCATAGGTAACATTTCTATAATTTTCCGGAAAGTTTATAGAATATACCCATTAATTTTTCCGGAAATATTTAATAGTCTATCCATTCAGGAATTATTTTCCGGAAGGTTTTATATTTTCCGGAAAGTTATATTTAAATATTTTCCGGAAGGTTTTATATTTTCCGGAAAGTTATATTTAAATATTTTCCGGAAGGTTTTATATTTTCCGGAAAGTTATATTTAAATATTTTCCGGAAGGTTTTATATTTAAGTATTTTCCGGAAGGGTTTATATTTAAATATTTTCCTGAATGTTATTATATAGTTAAATTATTTTCCGGAAAGTTTAATATTTATTTTCCTGAGAAACATTTTAATATTTTTCCGGAAAGCTTTAATATATAATTTTTCGGGTATTTACTCTTTTTCTCTCTTGCTCTTCTCTATATTACCCTTATAGAAACCATGTCTAATTAAAAAATAATTTATTTACGTGAAAGTGCAACAGCAACTTTATCCACTCCACCCATCCCCGCCAAACTATTCCTCGCTTCTTCCCCAAAAAGTTTTTCCAAAAAATCTTTTCCATGTGCTTGGAGGAGTGCTTTAAGGAAAGCTACAGTTTCTTCTACTGGCGGGCGAATTGCTAAAAAAATAATTTATTTTCAAATTTCATTTTATTTGTCCTACCAGCTGTGCACATTGCAGAATTTTCGTCATATTCATCTGAACAATCTGGGCTTCCGTCACACAAATATCTTTAAAAATGATTCCATTAGTAGACCTTTCTATTTAATGGACTTTTCACAAAAACCTCTATCTTATCAACACCCCTATTACCGAGCGTCCACAAGAAAGAGGTCTAAAAATTTAAGAAACTTACTTGATTGGAATACACTCGCTGTTAGGACATTGGAAGGGGTGCCAAGTCGGACATTGAACTAATTCTTCCCCTCCCCCACTTGCTGTCCTCTTCCCGCCCCTTGCCACAAGAACATCTCGAATACTAAAAGCTGAATTTTTGTCAGTAAATAATATCAATAATAATAAGGTTATTAATAAAAGAAATAAATTTTTTGAAATTTTAGGAAATTTGGAAGAAAATAATTTTAATTGTGTTGATAAGGATGAATTGACGTTGGTTGTGGACTGCTTCATTATTTTGTGTTTTTGAAGTTTTCTTCCTTTAAAAATAAAATAAACTTGTTTATGGTTAACCGGAAAGAATATAATTATAGTTAGAGTGTATAGCAATATAAAAAGGTTTTCCGGAAAGGTTGTTAATAAAGCAATGAAAAACACATATAAAACAAAAACACATTTTTTCCGGAAAAACACATATAAAATAAAAACACATTTTTCCGGAAAAGTTTTAACGAAACATTTTTTCCGGAAAAATACCTAAAAATACATCCTTCCAAAAGTTTGTCTCAATATTTTAAATTTTTAAAAATAAAAATAACCAAAACAACGTCAAAAGTCTAATGAGTTTTATAAAAAGAGGCGGATTTTTAAAAAAGTCAAAAGAAGTGACGAAACTGTCTGCAGAATAAAAAAATTTAAAAGAAAAGTTATTTATCCTCATAAAAATAAAAAAACAAAAATACACTTTCCGGAAAAATACAAAAGAGAAAAATAAATTCCGTAATATATTCCGTAATAATAAGGTTTGAAAAATAAAATACCTGCTTTTAAAGAAAATACATAATAATATGTACAATAATAAATTCCGGAAAGGATATTCCTGAAGAATTATAATTTAATAAAACACATTTTTCCGGTAAGTTTTTATAACAAAACATCTTTTCCGGAAAAAGTTTAGTTTCCGGAATAATTATAATTTTTAATGTATTTTCTCATCAAAAATACAAAAACACAAAAATAACACATTATTTAGAGTTTCTAGTAAAGGCTTTATTATTAGTGAAGGCGCTTCATTGATATATTTTTTTTATTTCTTTGAAAAAAGAAAACAATTAAAAAAGGAGAGAAAAGTTAAAAAGTTTTTTTTTCATGGCATTTAATTTTAACACATCCTCTCCTCATTTGTAATTTATATATAAAATGCCAATTGAGAGAGTTTGGCTTCTTTAAACGTGCATTTCACGAACAATAAATATATCGAGAAAATTAGAAAAAAAGGGTGGGAAGAAGCAATTTATAGCAAAAGGAAGGGAGGATTAGTTAATGCCCTTAAAAAGAAAAGAAAAAAAATTATTTTTTACCAATTGATGCATATAAAAACCCTTTTAATAAACATCAAGTGCCAAATAAATTTTTTTGCTGCTTGTAAAAGCAATCGGTTGGAAATATAAGATGAAAAATGAGGTGTTGAAAATGATTAAAAAGGAAAGGATAAAAATTGATGAAAAATTAAAAGGAGAAATGTGGGTGGAGAACAATGAGAGAGACAAAAAAGGGGTGTGAATCCAATAATCAAAAATTAAAAATACAATGAACACATTTCCGGAAATAGAAGTTTATTAATTATAGTTATTAAATACCAGAATATATTTCCGGAAAAATACAAGAAAATACAATTTTCCGGAAGAATAAAACAGTTATGAAAAATATAAATTTGGTGTGTATTTTCCGGAAAAATTATAAAACACGTTTCCGGAAAAATACAAGAAATACAATTTTCCGGAAGAATAAAACAGTTATAAAAATATAAATATACTAGTATGTGTTTTCCGGAAAAATTATAAAATACATTTCCGGAAAAAGTTTATTTTCCGGAAAAGTTTATTTTTATAAATTTATATTATATTACAACTACAGTAGTAAAAAGAATAAAACAAAAAATTAGAAGTAAAATAACTGTAGATTGAAAATTAAATGTGTGAAAAATAAATTTTAACGGAATTTGAAGTGATAAAAGTCTAGAAAAATAAAAATGACGCATACTTTATTATTTTAATTTGTTTATAAACTTTTAATTAAAAAAAACTTGTCACGAAATATTTAAAAGATACAATTTGTAAGTTGTTGACTGCTTTTTATTAAATAATTTTATTTTTTAATGCAAAATTATTTAAGCTAGAATATTTATAAAATACAATAAAATCTCTTCTAAACACAAAACAAAGTTTTCTATGTAAAAAAATATGGTAATAGTTCGGATGAGACCCCCCCCCTCCTTTTTCCTTCCTAAAAGTATTAAAAAATGGTCAGTCAGTCTTAGGTTATAGAACTCGCCGACTGTGTCGCATGACACCAAATTCAACCCCTGGTCTTAACTTTGGGCCGAGATACAGACAAAAACCCTGCGCAAAAAGAAGGGTTTTGCAAAAGCGCCTCACGACTACAATAGGATTACTTTATGTCATAACTTTGTCAAATCTTGTTCAATTATGTGATTTTGATGTCATTCGAATCAGCTCGACAAGCTCTTTCGAATGAGCTATTATTTGATTAATCGAATTTTTAGCCCAAAAAATAAGCTTGGTCTACTCTGTTATTTTTCAATTTTCGGGAGTATGTATCTCGGCCCAAAGTTAAGACTGGGTGATGATTTTGGTGTCACTCGACACAGCTCGACGGGTTCTATAATCTAATAACAGACTGACCATTTTTTAATATTTTAAGGATGGAAAAAGGAGGGGGGGGGGTCTCATCCGAACTATTACCAAAAATATAAAGTATAACTTTTCCGGAAAATACAAAAAATATAAGGTTTATTAGAAGATAAATCATAGATAATAAAAATAACTTTCCGGAAAGAATATAATG